TCACACTGAGCAGCGCTGCTTCGCTCGGCTTAGCGACGCCTGGCGCGCAAAGTTTCCTGATGCTACTGAGTTCCCCAACTGGGCAGACCTGCTTAGGCGTGATGTACCTATCTTTGATCTTGACTATGAGGCTATTCTTGCTGCCATGTATGCATTGACTGTTAGTGCTGAGGGTGACTGCTACTTGTGTGTGCCGCCTGACCCAGGTATAGCCCCAGGTATAGCGCCTGTGGCACTAGGTGCTTGTGAGTCTGCTCCCCCTGGTACTGCGTCCGCACAGGCCTTGCACACCTTCACACTTGACTCTGGTGCTTCCCGCTGTTTCTTTCGCGATAGCACCACAGTCACTCCCCTCCCTGCACCTGTTCCTGTCTCGCTGGCTGACCCCTCTGGGGGCCCAGTGCTTGCACGGTCTTCCACTGTGCTTCCGTGTCCGGCGGTCCCGTCTGGTGAGCTGTCTGGTCTCCACCTCCCCTCGTTCTCTACGAACTTGGTGAGCAACGCCGTCCTTCAGGATCACTGGGTTGACACCTTTACTCCTGGAGGACAGCGTGTGGCGATCTGCACGTGCTCCCGGACCGGCCGTCACCTGGCCACGTTCACAAGTGCGCCTGGGTCTAGTCTGTACACCCTCACCACTGCGTCACGCTACACCCCTTTGTCCCCCCAGCTGTACGCGTCTGCTCAGGTAGCTACCCAGTGTGAGTGTCGCCGCCTGTCGCACGACACTCTTCTGTGGCACCACCGCCTTGGTCACCCCTCCCTGCCTCGCCTTCGTAGCATGCACTCTCGCTACCTGGTCTCTGGCCTTCCTGAGTCTCTGCCTGCCCTCCCTCCCTCGCCTGCGCCGCCCTGCATTCCTTGCGTCGAGGGGCGGCAGCGCGCCGCTCCTCACTCCTCCTCGTTTCCTCCCACAGAGGCTCCTCTGCAGACCCTCCACATGGACGTGTGGGGCCCAGCCCGCGTCCGTGGACAGGGCCACGAGCGGTACTTCCTGCTGGTCGTCGACGACTACACGCGTTACACCACGGTCTTCCCCTTGCGCAGCAAGGGGGAGGTCCCTGATGTTTTGATCCCCTGGATCCGCGCTGTTCGTCTCCAGCTCCGCGAGCGGTTCCAGTCGGACTTTCCGGTCCTGCGTCTGCACTCTGACAGAGGTGGTGAGTTCTCCTCAGACCTCTTGGCAGCCTTCTGTGCGGAGCACGGCATCCGCCAGACGTACACGCTTCCGGCCTCTCCGCAGAAGAATGGGGTTGCTGAGCGCCGCATTGGCTTAGTCATGGAGGTCGCTCGTACCTCCATGATCCATGCGGCTGCCCCCCATTTTTTGTGGCCGTTTGCGGTCCGGTACGCCGCGCATCAGCTCAACCTCTGGCCCCGTGTCTCCTTGCCGGAGACCTCGCCCACACTGCTGTGGACGGGGAAGGTTGGCGATGCGTCGCGTTTCCGGGTCTGGGGTGCTCGTGCCTTTGTCCGCGATACCACCGCGGACAAACTCTCCGCTCGCGCCATTCCCTGCGTCTTCCTTGGCTTTGTCCCTGACGCGCCTGGCTGGCAGTTTTACGACCCAGCCTCGCGCTGTGTCTTTCCGTCTCAGGACGTCACCTTTGACGAGTCCGTCCCTTTTTACCGTCTCTTTCCCTACCGCACTGCCCCTCGCCCCGCCCCCGCCGCTCTTTCTCGCCCCAGGTCCTCCCCAGGTAGACCCCCTCCCCGCGCCAGGTCCTGCTCCTTTAGGTGTTTCTCAGGTAGACCCTCCCGTACCTGCGCCTGTTGAGGTCACTGGTGACTCAGGTCCTACTGGGGGTGGTGCTGTCTTTGGGGGTGCTGAGCCTGGGGGTGCGGAGCTTGGGGGTGCTGAGCCTGGGGGTGCGGAGCTTGGGGGTGCTGAGCCTGGGGGTGCGGAGCTTGAGGGTGCTGAGCCGGGGGGTGCGGAGTCTCGGGGTGCTGAGCCTGAGCGTGAGGAGCCTGGAGGTCCTGAGCCTGGGGGTGCTGAGTCTGGGGGTGCGACGCCTGAGGGTTCTGAGTCTGCTCCTGCGCGGTCTCCTTGGAGTAGCCGCCTTCGTACGCGTGTGCCTCTCACCTCACAGCAGCTGCACGACTGGTACGGTCGCCGTCAGGGTCGTGCTTCTGGAGCTCGGGGCTCTGCCGCTGGAGGTACTTCTGCTGACGCCACTGGAGCTGGGAGTGGTGCTGGTCCCGGAGGTGCTCGCACTGGAGGTGCTGGAGCTGCTGGGGCTGGAGGTACAGCTGAGCCTGAGGGTGCTACTGCTGGAGACCCTGGGTCTGGGGGTGCTGTTGCTGGAGACACGGAGGCTGGAGACCCTGGGACTGGAGGTGCCGGTTCTGGGGGTGCTGCTGAGGGTACTGGAGCTGCTGGAGGTGCTGGAGCTGCTGAGGGTGCTGGAGCTGCTGGAGGTACTGGAGCTGCTGAGGGTACTGGAGCTGCAGGAGGTGTTGGAGCTGCTGAGGGTGCTGGAGCTGCTGGAGCTGCTGGAGCTGCTGGAGGTACTGGAGCTGCTGAGGGTACTGGAGCTGCAGGAGGTGTTGGAGCTGCTGAGGGTACTGGAGCTGCTGGAGGCGCTGGAGCTGCTGCGGGTGCTGGAGCTGCTGAGGGTGCTGGAGCTGCTGGTGCTGGTGGCACTGCACAGCCGCGCCTGTTCTTTGCTCCACCGTCTCCGTCGTCTCTGCCGCCGCCTGACTCCGTACTTCGCCAGGTTCTTAGCCTCCCGTCGTCTACTGGTCTTCCGTTACAGCCTGGCTCACCTCTGCCTGCTCCTTCTCCTTACGCTGAGCAGACACGGGGCTTTACTGAGCGTCGTGAGCCTGCGTCGCGTCCTGTCTCACCTGCCCGTTCTGGTCGTTCCAGTCGTCGTGTTCCTCGTCAGCGTCCGCCGGCTGTCCCCGGTCCTTCCCTTGTAGTCCGTCGTCCTTCCTCTCCTCCGCAGCGTGTCCCTCTGCCGTCCCCTCCAGAGTCTTCTCTGCCTGTTGTTCCGGACCCTGAGTCTGACCGGTTTCGTGCTGAGCACCCTACTGTCACGCGTCTGCTAGCCACTGTTGTCACTGACCCGTCGTTTGAGTCTGCTGCTGCGTCTGCCTTAGTCGTTGAGCTTGTTGACTTTGCTGCTGCCTGTCGTCTAGACTACGCTGCTAGTCTTGTTGCTGAGTCTGAGTCTGTCTGTCCTCCGTCCGTCGGGGGTGAGTGTGCTCTTGGCACGGACGTCCTTGAGGACAGGCAGGAGGACCTTGAGTGTCTTGCAGCCGCTGCGCCTCATCTCGTGTCCATGCTGCTTGCCCCTGAGGGAGACCCGGATGCTCCAGACATCCCGACCCCGCGCTCTTACGCTGAGGCGATCGCGGGTGAGTACTCCTCTCAGTGGCAGACAGCCATGGATGCAGAGATGGCATCCTGGAAGTCCACAGGCACCTACATCGACGAGTTTCCCCCACCTGGGGCGAACATCGTCAGTGGCATGTGGATTTTCAGGGTGAAGCGGCCGCCAGGTTCTCCGCCTGCCTTCAAGGCGCGTTACGTTGCACGAGGTTTCAGTCAGCGAGAGGGAGTAGACTTCTTCCAGACCTTCTCCCCCACCCCGAAGATGACCACTCTTCGGGTGCTGCTGCACGTTGCCGCTCAGCGAGACTACGAGCTTCACTCTCTTGACTTCAGCCTGCACGAGGAGATCTGGCTGCGTCGCCCACCTGGCTTCACTGGGTCGTTCCCTCCTGGTACCCAGTGGAGCCTCAGGCGGCCGGTCTACGGTCTCCGCCAGGCGCCACGTGAGTGGCACGACACACTGAGGACGACACTTGCGGCTCTTGGGTTTGCTCCGTCGACTGCTGACCCGTCGCTGTTTCTGCGCACCGACACTTCGCTGCCGCCGTTCTACATCCTCGTGTACGTCGACGACTTGGTCTTTGCCACTGCTGACACTGAGGCTCTCGCCCAGGTGAAGTCGGAGCTGCAGAAGAGACACACGTGCACAGACCTGGGTGAGCTGACAAGCTATCTTGGCTTGCGGATCACCCGGGACAGAGCACGCCGCACCATCACACTGACTCAGTCACACATGGTGCAGCAGGTCCTTCAGCGCTTCGGCTTCACCTGGTCCTCGGCACAGCACACTCCTCTGGGTACAGGTCACTCGCTCTCAGCTCCACCTTCGGACGAGTACATAGAGCCGAGTGGTCCTTACCCAGAGCTAGTGGGCTGCCTCATGTACCTGATGACCTGCACTCGTCCTGACCTTGCGTACCCTCTTGGCCTTCTGGCTCGCTACGTGGCTCCTGGTCGGCACCGAAAGGTGCACATGGATGCTGCTAAGAGGGTACTACGCTACTTGTGCAGTACATCGGGCATGGGGCTCGTGCTTGGAGGACGGAGCGACGTTGTCCTCACTGGGCACTCAGGCGCTTCTTGGGTTGACGACCAGGCTACGCAGCGGTCGTCACAGGGTTACACCTTCAGCCTTGGCTCTGGTTCGGTTTCTTGGCGTTCTACACGCTCGTCTTCAGTTCTCAGCTCCAGTTGTGAGGCTGAGATCTACGCCACAGCCATGGCTGCACAGGAGTTACGCTGGCTCACCTACCTGCTGACCGACTTGGGAGAGAGGCCTCGTTCTCCTCCAGTGCTGTACGTCGACAACAAGGCCGCCATTGCCTTGTGTCAGGAGCACAGACTGGAGCACAGAACGAAGCTGGTAGGTAGAGATCACTGTGCTGTTGTTGTTACGTATATATCTCTGCATGTGAACTGGCCTTGTGGCCTTTTGCTTGTGCTCAGACTGCGTGGTGACGTTGTGATCCACCCTGAGCTTGCTTTGCATTTCCTGACTGGTCTTGTGACCCTCTGTTCTCCCCCACTTTGCCTATGGGGGTGTGTCAAACATATATATATCTGTTATAGTTTGGGTAGGCTTAGTGGGGTACTCACTGTGGGGTACAACCCCTTAGGTTTCTCCTTTGTACCATCTCTCTCGATAGTCAAACTTCATTCATGCCTATACTCTAAGAGGAGGAAGGGCGACGGGAGAGAGAATAGGTGACGGGAGAGAGGAAGGGCGACGGGAGAGATGAAGGGAGACGGGAGAGTAGGAAGGGCGACGGGAGAGAAAGGCGACGGGAGAGTAGGAAGGGCGACGGGAGAGTAGGAAGGGCGACGGGAGAGTAGGAAGGGCGACGGGAGAGTGGGAAGGGCGACGTGAGAGAAAGGCGACGGGAGAGAAGGGCGACGGGAGAGAAGGAAGGGCGGCGGGAGAGGAAAGCGACGGGAGAGGAAGGGCAACGGGAGAGGAAAGGGCGACGGGAGAGGAAAGGCGACGGGAGAGGAAGGGCAACGGGAGAGGAAAGGCGAAGGGAGAGGAAAGGCGACGGGAGAGGAAGGGCGACGGGAGAGGAAAGGCGACGGGAGAGGAAAGGCGATGGGAGGGGATGGACGACGGGAGAGAAGACGGGTGACGGGAGAGAAAGGCGTGCGAGATGGGAGGGGAGAGATAGCGAGGCGACGCGAACTGAGGGGAGGGCCGCGACGGGAGATAGCGAGGGCGAAGTCGATGGAGGCGACAATTCGGGCGACGGGCCTCGTCAGGATCGCGACTCGACGGGCGACGGGACGGCGTCGGGACGGACGGCGCGAGGACGATCTTCACGGGAGGACGAGTGAGACAGGATAGGAAGGCGGCGAGAGGGCGATCTAAACGGCACAATTACTGCGCAATCACGCCATATAATCACTACGCGTCTAAGTTGCGGTAACAACAGCCTAAGTTGAGGGCTATATGGCTAGACAAGCAACTAATAACTAAGAAGCACGAAAAAAATGAACATTTGAATTAGTAGTACTTTACCCATGCCCAACTTGAACCGCAAGCTGGGCAAAAAATCGCAGGGACGTGACAAAACGATCGCAGTGCTTCTACTCTGCGGCTCCCCAAACAGAGATGCGACGCCTGACGTGCTGTGTTCCTTTTTTCGGTTTTGGCGGGAACCAATCAGATTTGTTCGATCTGTTCAAACGCTCTCAATGAAACAGTGCAAACTTGTCGGTTTGGTTTTGAAAATTGTTTCGCTCGACAAGCTCTCTTTCAAGCTGGAGACGGGTTCACTATTTTGCATTTCGGTTTTAAAACGTGGTTGTTACATTTAAACTTTGAACCGTTTTCAACTCCGTAAACATTCGATCCTGCTCAGGATCGATCGTGCAAAATCGAGAGAGGTGACGCGTCCTAAGCACAAGCGTGCAGTGGTTTCCCGCACAGGTTGGGGTTCCCTGGTTTGAACGAGCCTCGATTCAACTTGCTCAGAGCAGCCGGAACAGCCCCTGACAGCCGATTCCCCGCCAGCTTCACTTGCCAAAGCCTTGCCGGCCAAACCGCGGGAATGGCACCTGAAAGCCTGTTATACGACAGCCCTAGCCTCTGTAACATTCCCATCTTGCTCACACCGGCTGGGATCGGTCCTGTGAGGGCGTTATTATCGAGGCGGAGGTTCATGAGGCTTCTTAAGGAGCCGATTGTATTGGGGATGGGGCCGGAGAGGCGGTTGGAGGAGAGGTAAAGGGCCTGAAGGGAGGCGGAGCAGGAGGGGGAGGAGAGCGGGGTGGGCGGGCCGGAGAGGGCGTTGGAGGCGAGATTGAGGATGGTGAGGGCCTGCTTGCCCTGACAGAAGGCGGGGATGGGGCCTGTGGGATGGGGGATGGGACGTAGGCACAAGCACAGGGATAGAGAAGGGAGATACGAAGAGTCAATTCAAGCAGAGAAGTGATTGCAGCAAGGGGTGCAGGATCGGGAGGAGAGAAGCGGAGCAGGAGGGAGAGTCAGGGGGGTGGGCGGGCCGGAGAGGGCATTGTACACAAGGGAGCTCGAGAAAGAAGGCGGGGATGGGGCCTGAGGGGTGCAGAGAGGGAACAGAAAGCTCAACGAAACGGAACAATAAGAGTTTTTCCAATCAACTCACCTGTCAGAGCGTTTGCCCCGAGGTCCAAGTATTGAAGATGGGGTAAAATGGCGAGGACCCGGGGAATTTTTCCGGACAGCCGGTTCGAGTTCAAATGTATCCCTTCAAGGTACGGCAGCGTCGCGAGGGCGGCAGGGATCGGCCCGGACAGCCTGTTATTCGCGAGATCTAGAGTTTTTAGCGAAGTCGCCGCGTACGCAGCAGGGCCTTGTGGTAACCCGCCGGAGAAGAAATTATTGGTGGCGGTCACACTGGTAAGCCACGGCGCGCGAAAAATGGCGACACGAAGAGGGTCAGCGAAGCAGTTATCGCTAAGCTCGAGACGCAAGATATTTGTAAGCCGGGAGATTGATCGCGGGACAGAGCCAGCAAGCCAGAGACTCTTCAGAACGAGAACAAAGAGACCCGTTAGCTGGCCGATAGAATCGGAGAGGGTTGCGGGGAACTTTCCGCCAGGTTCGCGCGCAGTACGGTTGCAAAGGCGAGGCGTGGATGGGGGTTTGATGCTCTTTGGGAGGTCTAGCACCGCAACGCCGCCGTAGCAGCAAGTCACGCCGGGCCATGTGCACACGTCTGGCTGGTTCGACGGGATAGGTATCAGCGCGGCCGTGAAAACCGCCCTGAGAGCCGCCGTGTTATTATCCGCCGAAGCCGGAGACGAGCCACTGCCGGTTCCGCCCGCCGCTGCGTCGGACGCAGAAGTTATCCCGTAGCAGGGATCATTAGGTAGCTTCGGTACATGCTGCCTCGATATGGGCTGGAAAGCTATCGTCGGTGAGCAGTAGAGGAGTAGCAGGAGGAGGCACGCTGTCGTACTAGCGTGAGCGCGCAACGCGTCGTGAAGAACGGTGATGGAACGAGCGACTCGAGGATCTACGGCCGCCATGTGCGACTCCGAGCCTAGCGCTTTCTAATAGCTTCCGAAAACCGTTTCGTAAAGAAACCAAACCTACTACACAGTTTCAGAGTGAAACCTGAAATGAGGTTCAATTTCGAGCGAGGAAGTAAGATAAGGTAACAAATAGAGGCATACGAAGCTCAGTTGTCAAGATAGGATGGCTGGGAGTTTTCCTGGATTTGGTGAGTGCGCGGCATCCGCCCAATAAGTGTCCCACGTGGCAGTTTTACACGGCGGAAGACACTCCCAGCACGTGCTACTACGCGATATTCTCGCCGACAGCCGCTGTCCACATACCTTACTGAGCTAGTCATTGCTGTATGGGAGCGACAAGGCCACCAAAATGAATTGAATGGCTGCTGCTACAGCAACGGTATGGACGAATAGAACGCATGCGACGGCAGCGCAAGCAATGAGTGGGCTCGGCTTGGCAGGCATTCACTCTTTAAAGCGTGTTCAAAGTACTGCACCAGCTCAACGTCGAAGTACGTCGGTGAATGTCAACCCTCGGATCTACGGTTCCAACCGTCACGATTCACCGACGTACTTCGACGTCGAGCTGGTGCACTACTTCGAACACGCTTTTAGGAGAGGCACCACTACCAAGAGGCATCACTAGCGAGAGGAAGCAGTAGCGAGGGACGGCTGGTGAGGTGGGAGGGGATGAGCTGAGCTGCAGCCATGGGTGAGCTGGTTTGGTTTTGCCTGGTTTGGTTGGTTTGTTTGGTTTGGTTGGTTTGGTTGGTTTGGTCTGATTGATCTGATTTGATTGGGTTAGATGAGGTGAGAGGGTTTGTTTGGAGCTAAGGGGTTGGGCAGGGAAGGTTTGGTTTTTGGGTGAGGCACACGGGAATTGCTGCAACTGACGAATTCATCTATCGCTTGGGTTGCGTTGGGTTGGGTGAGGTAAGGGTACCCAGAGGGCTTGGCAGTTTCGGTGAGGGGCACAGGAATTGACGAATTCAGATCAGAAGGATGGAGGGAGATTTGAGAGAGGTCGCAGGAGTTTTGAGAGGTCAAGAGTGGTGCATTAGAGCTATCAGTGGTTGCCACGTTCAGTTCCCCACCAAAGCCTGTCTAGGGCGTTTTGTCGCCAGCAATTTCGCCCACCTCGCAAGCGCAAGCCCCGCCTTGCGCGATGGACGACATCTCTGGCGACAGATGTTACCCGCTCACGTTCGAAACAGCCAGTTCGGGTCGAAACAAAACGCTTGACGAATCTTGCATGAGTTTCGAGAAATTTATCATTAGCTCCTCATAGATCGAAAATGGTTAGGCCAACGGGCATCAACTATCTGCCTGACGCATATCTTTATAAGAGCATCTCGTCCAAAAGCCTAAGTTTCTTTCCGAACACTACTTAAATGGAGCGTCCGTGCATAGATGCTGCTCGAACACTGCCATCACGTCCGTCTGCCGCCGTTGGCGCCGACTTGCTCAGCGTTAGACTTGGAAGACTCGCACACCTCCACGCTTCTTGTCCGGCAAGACTTGGCTGTTACCTGTCGAGATCTCGCAGTGGTTATTGCTAGTTTCCCCAACTTGACGTGCCTTAATCCGTGCGACGGAAGCGTGGAAACCCTAGACGACACCTTCCTCGCTCACCTCGCCTCTGGAAGCTGACGGCACTGCATGTGGGAAGCAGAGTCACACCAACGAACAATGGCGGGGCGAAAGACGAGTATCCGATAATCGCTTCTCTGTCTTCACAAGAACGCTCAACTTGCGTCGTTCTTTCATCTCACTCACCTGCACACCCTCTTACTACAAGATGATGCTTCGGCACTTGAATCTCCCAATCTCGCCAACCTTTCTCCTCTCACGTCTCTCCCCCTCCATTGTTGTAAAGGACTCTCCTCTACTTTGCAGGAACTGGGATTTGTACTAAACGATGGAGCACTCTGTTGGCTTTCCAACGAGCCGTAGAACACGTCGACCGCCTAAGTATCCGCCGAGATATAGGCGTTCACGTGCTAGGTGGTGCTCTTAGAATGTAGGATAGGAGCTCTCTGGATTTTGTGTCGACTTGCACTGTGTACAAAGTGATTCTCGATTTCAGTATGTTCCATGCAATACAAAGCACACAAATATATATGAACTGCAAACATCGTGTCGCACATGTAACCTCGAACCGCGGTACACTCGAATGTTCGAGTAACATCGAAGGGGTGAAATTCGACACTCGAATTTCACTCATTCGAATGTTCCTTCAAGTCCCGAACTTTCTGGTGCTGCCATGTGGCACCGAATCGATTGGTCTTCCGAAGTCAAACTTCAGCTCCACGCAAATCTGCAGCTCACTCGAAGGTGAGCACCATTCGGTGGTTGGGGGCAAACCTCCCCCCCCACGCAACCTCCAACATCCATCACATCACCCGGGTTTGTTCTCACCTCTCGGCCTGCCAGGTGGCAGCATGGCGGGTCAGGGGCCGGGTTCAGGCCTGTGTGGACGTGACAGCTGGCATGCTCGCCGTGCAACTGCAGGACGCGGACCTCTTATAGGTTCGGGTGACGTAGGTGCAGGTTCGAGGATGCAGATTCGGAGTCGTACGTTCGGGTGACTTAGGCTTGGAATGGGTGCTGTGGGAAGGGCTATGCTCAAGGCGTGTTGAAGAAGTTGGGTTGAATGCGGCTGAGCGAGGTGTTTTACTCCCCCACTCCCCCCCCATCTCCCTCCCTCGTATCGTTTTCTTAAGGCGCTTCGGATTCTGCCCCACATGGTGCGTCCTCTCCCCCATTGGTGCTCCTCCAGTCATTCTCTGCTGTGAGATACGAAACTTTCATCCGTACATCCCCTTCCCCCATCCGTGCTTCGCCATTCATTCTCCCCCATAAAGCAATCCATCCGTATATCCCTTCCACACCCCTCCCCTTCCCCCTTCAACCAACTCCCCCAATCTCTCCCTCCCACCCTCCCCCAGGCCGCCCCACGCGGTCCGCCTCTCCCCCCATTCGTGCTGCATCAATCATGTGCGACCGTCATTATCAGGTCAGTGTTGGCACAACAGACATCGTCGAGAAAGGTTCTGTAAGGTTCTGTGCGGTTTGTGCTCTACCAGCCAAGCAGTATCCGGCCGTCATAATCAGGCCAGTCAGCCTTGGCCCGACACACACACCCTCCCGTATTCGCCATGCCATGCTTTAGCCGTTTGAATGTGAAGCGATTGCTGAGCGGTTCTGTGCGGTTCGTGCTCCGCCAGTCATGGGCTGCCGCAGGTTGTCCCGTCTTCCATTTCCTGATTCCTGCCACGTGTAGACTCGTGTTCGAGAGGGGTCATGAGTGGTCATGAGTGGACATGAGGGGTCAAGAGTGGGGTGAGGGTGGCAGCACACGTAGGCATCCCCGCACTGCTGGTGGACGTGCGGCACTGTGAGTAAGGCTGGTCTCAACTCAGTAGGGGCAACGGTCCGTGACGTCTTACTGTGCGATAACTGTAGTTTGATAACTGTGCGTGCGGTAACTGTGCGTGCGGTAACTGTGCGTGCGTGCGTCCAGCCTTACTGTTACCACCACAGTGCAATGGAGTAGAGTCCGAAACACTGTGGGTTAAACACTGCCAGTGTTGATACTTCCCACCCCATACCGTCCTTCCCTCCCCTCCCTCCTCACTCCACCGTCTCTCCACCCTTCTGCTCGTCCTCCCCATCCCCCTTCCCCTGCACAGCCCTGGCCCCACAATGGCCTGCTGCAGCTGCCGGTGTTGAGTAAGCTATTGAGTAGCCATACTAGTTTTCCCGGTGCCTCCCCTCCCCCCCCTCTCTCCTCTTCCTCTCCCTCCCTCTCTCCCCATCTCCATGCCACCCCTCCATTGCACATGGGATGGACGGGTCCCGACATTCATCCCTCCCCTCCCCCTTCTTTCTGGCCGCCCAACGTCCTGCCTCCTCTCCCCCCATTCGTTCTCCGCTGGTCATTCCCTTCGTAAAATACAATCCATCAGTAACCCCCCCTCCCCTCCCCCCCGACTCCCCCAATCCCTCACTCCCTCTCTCCCTCACTCCCTCCCCCAGGCCGCCCCACGTCCACGTAGTACCTCCTCTGCCCCCACTAGTGCTCCGCCAATCATATGCGGCCGTAATCATCAGGTCAGCCCTTGCTCAACACACATGGTTAAGAGTGGTTCTGTGCGGTCTTGGGCGGTTTGTGCTCTGACAGCCAGTCACATGCGGCTGTAATCATCAGGTCGGTCAGTGTGAGCTCATTACGCACGGTTGAGAGGGGTTTTGTGCGGTTTGTGCTCTACCAGCCAGTCATATGCGGCCGTGCGTGATTAGGTCAGTCAATCATGCGTAGTGTGTGATTCTTAGTCATGTCAGGCGAGTATCACATGCTATGCCATGTCATGTCACACACTTGCCTTGCCACGGTCTAGCTTTTTGCGTGTCATGGAATTGCCGAGGGGTTCTGTGCAGTTCGTGCTTCGCCAGCCAGTCTTGCCCTGCTGTGATCATCAGGTCAGTCAGTCGGTCAGTCGGTCAGTCGGTCAGTCGGTCAGTCGGTCAGTCGGTCGGTCGGTCGTCGGTCGGTCGGTCGTCGGTCGGTCGGTCGTCGGTCGTCGGTCGGTCGGTCAGTCAGTCAGTCAGTCAGTCAGCCATATCCCAACACACATAGCATACCCTATTCCATTAAGTGGGGAGGTCCGAGAGGGAAGGAGGAGACAGAAGAAGGAGAGGAGGAAGAGGAGGAGGAAGGTGAAGGAGGAGGGGAAGTGGGAAGGGAAGGGAAGAAGAAAGGACAAGGACATGAGGATAAGATGGAATGGATTGGTCAAGAGAAGGAAGGATCAGGTGGGTGGACACCCTCAGGAGGACAAAGAAGAGGCCGAAGAGGAGGAGGAGCAGGAGGAAGAAGGGGGGGATGAGGAAGTGGAGGAGAATGAGGAGGAGGAGGATGAGCTAGAAGAAGAGGAAGAATGGGAGGAGGAAGAATGGGAGGAGGAAGAGGACGGAGTTGGTGGTGTGGTTACAGTTGGTGGTGTGGTTACAGTTGGTGGTGTGGTTACAGTTGGTGGTGTGGTTACAGTTGGTGGTGTGGTTATAGTTGGTGGTGTGGTTACAGTTGGTGGTGTGGTTACAGTTGGTGGTGTGGTTACAGTTGGTGGTGTGGTTACAGTTGGTGGTGTGGTTACACCCGGTGCTGTGGTAACATGCAGTGGTATGGGAGCAACGCCGGATGCCTTTCGTGTGGCCTGGCTGGGTCAATCCCAGCGATGGAGTGGTGGAGAAGCAGGGACGTGGGCGGGGGAAGAGAAGGTGGGGAGGGAAGGGAGGGGGAGCAGGGGCAGGGGCAGGAGAGGGAGAGGGAGGAGAGAGGGGGGCAGATGGAGAAGGAGGAGGAGGAGAAGGAATAACAGGAGGAGGTGAAGGAGGGGGAGAAGGGGGAAGAGAAGGGGAGAGTGAGGAAGAGGGGGCAGAAGTGGAGGAGGTGGAAGGGACAGATTTCGAGGAAGGAACCGAGAAGCTTCTGAGGGAGATGGAGAGGGAGTTGAGTACAATCGAGCAAGTGGTTCGGGCGAGTAGCAGCAGGGGGCAGGAGGAGTTGTAGTTGTGGGGGCAGGGAAAAAGGAGACTGTGAGAGGGGAGACTGGAGAAAGGGAGATAGGAAAAGGGGAGGGGGTGAAGTGGAAATGGGGAGGCGGAACGAGAGGGGCTGGCAAGAAAAGGAGAAATTTTGTTGAGAGGAACCTTCCGAGAAAGAGGTGGAGGGTTGCGACTAACTGGGTGCCTTGTGCTGTGGGCACCATGCCGTCCCTAGCTGCCAGCTCCGGAGTTCTCCCAAACCTGGAGGCGCCGTTCGAGGCTGCGAGGAGGTTCGGCGCAGGTCCGGGCTGGGCGTTTGGTCCGGATGAAGGTTTGGTTGGGCCAGGTCCGGACAAGAGAGTGTGGGAGTGGTGAAAGGGGAGGGAGGGAAGGGAAGGGTGGGGTGGTTGGGGAAGAGAGGGCGAGGTACCGGGGGATAGATGGGGTTAGAGGGGAAGGGGACGATGCAGGAATAGAGGAAAATGGAGGAGAGGTGGGAGCTGGTGGTGCTTCTGGTAGTGGTGCTGGTGGTGCTGCTGAGGTGGGTGCGATAGCACAGATGTAAAAGGCTGCAAGGAATGGACTGTTGGGAGAAGCATGTCAGAATGTTATAATTGTCTAGCCTGCAGTGGGGTACTCTATAGCGAGCACAACCCAATTAGGGTTTCCTATATGTATCTCAACTGCTGCTAGTGCAAAACGCTCCTTTGCTCATTTCTGTTTCTGCCTGTTAATTCTGACATGATATCAGAGCAGGTCGACCCTCCTGGGTCGATCCTGTGGGTGGGCCCCACCCGATGCTTCCGCTGCTCTACTGCTGTCGCGCGCCCCGGGCGCGCGACCCTTTCTTCCTGCCGCGCGCTCGGAGCGCGCGGCATTTTTCATCCCGCCGTGCGCTCGGGGCGTGCGGCGGTTTTCTGCCCACCGTGCGCCCCGAGGCGCGCGGCGGTTTCCTGCTTCGCGCGGCGGTTTTCTACCCGTCATGGTACCCCCGGGGACCTACGCGCTGCCCCCCGTCGCCCGTCGCGGCGCCCTGGGGGCCCGCGCGTCGCCCTCCTCCCGTCGCCTCGTCGCGGCGCCCTGGGGGCCCGCGCGCCGGCCCCTCCCGTCGCCTCGTCGCGGCGCCTTGGGGGCCCGCGCGTCCCCCCCTCCCGTCGCCTCGTCGCGGCACCTTGGGGGCCCGCGCGTCGCCCCCTCCCGTCGCCTCGTCGCGGCGCCTTGGGGGCCCGCGCGCCGCCCCCTCCCGTCGCCTCGTCGCGGCGCCTTGGGGGCCCGCGCGCGGCCCCTCCCGTCGCCCGTCGAGCCGCCCTCGGGGGCCCGTGCGCGGCCCCCCTCCCGTCACCCGCCGTGGCGCCCTCGGGGGGCCCGCGCCCTGCTCCTTCGTGGCGCCCAGGAGACCCCCCCGCCGCCTCCCTTTCCCTCCGTGAACCGCCCCTGCTGCTTCTCGCGCTCCTGCCTGCGTTAGGGTTTGGGGGTGGCGGGCATGGGGGTGACCGGTGTGGGTAACCTGCAGCTCCTCCTCCTCCTCCGTCTCCCACAACTGCAGCTGCCGCTGAGGGGGGTGGGTGTGTGGGAGCCGAGGGTTTAGGGTTTAAGGGGGGTGACGTGGGAGTGGAGCTAGGGGTGCAGCAAGGGGTGTGTGAAAGGGGGGGTGGGACAGTTGGGGGAGGTTGAGCGGAGGCTGCCGTCTTGTCGTCCGCAGCACCTGTAGTCCGGGGCGCTGTCCTGGTAGCCCAGAGAGCCTGCTGCGCCTGTCGCCCGTGGGTCCGTTGCTCCTGCCGCTCTTCGTAGCCGCCGAGCCAGTTACTCCAGTAGTCCGGGGCGCTGTCCCGGTAGCCACTGTGCCAGCCGCTCCTGTTGCCCGTGTGTCTGCAGCTTCAGCCGTCGCCTCCTATCTTCTCTCCTCTTACAGTCTCGCCTCCTCCTCCTCACTTGCCCTTTGTGAATGCCTCTAGCTTTGCTTGCACTTGTGAACCTGCTCTATGACTGCTTGCTCTGCTGATTATACCCCACTTTGACTATGGGGGTGTGTCAGAATGTTATAATTGTCTAGCCTGCAGTGGGGTACTCTATAGCAAGTACAACCCAATTAGGGTTTCCTTTGCTCATTTCTGTTTCTGCCTGTTAATTCTGACAAAGCAGCCACGCTGACACGTGCACAAGTGGAGGCAGAGACAGTCGAGGTGGGAACAGGTGGGGCAAGTGGTGACCCTGTTGCTGCTTCAGGATATGATTGGGCAGCTTTGAAACACTCAATTGCCCTGATCTGACCACACGATCACCGGATTAGTTTTTGTTTGTTGTATTTACGTCTTTTTCCACTGATGACACTTGTGAGGAGAATTCTGATGGAGCTTAGCTTGTAAGATTTGGGACATCACTACAGTACAACATACTTCCGTACGCCCACATTTTCTCCTTGCAACGACCAGTAGCATCAAGAGTTTTGCTAGATGAAGATCGCTTGTGGCCTGAGGCACAAGCAGGAGGGCGGCGGGAGGGGGTAAGGAAGGGATGTTAAAAAGCACAGGCAGGCAGCGGGGTCACACATAAATTGATGTTCCCTGCGTTGCCTAGCTTTCTCAGAGCAGCCGGAACAACCCCTGACAACAGTCGGCTCTCTGCTGACAGACGGTGTCCCATCGAAATAGTTCTATGCACAGGCAGGCAACGGGGCACCACACAAGTTGGGGTTCCCTGGTTTGAACGCGCCTCGCTTCAGCTTGCTCAGAGCAGTCGGAACAGCCCCTCTCAGCCGATTCCCTGCCAGCCGCACTTGCTGTATTCTTGCTGGCCAAACCGCGGGTATTTTCCCCGATACCCTGTTGTATGACAACCCGAGACCCTGCAACCATTTCATGTTGCTCACACCTGCGGGGATCGTTCCCGTGAGGGCGTTCCTGTCAAGGGTCAGCAACTTGAGGCGAGTAAAGGAGCTGACTGTAGCGGGGATGGGGCCGGAGAGGCGGTTGGAGGAGAGGTAGAGGAGGGCGAGGGAGGCGGAGCAGGAGGGGGAGGAGAGCGGGGCGGGCGGGCCGGAGAGGGCGTTGGAGGCGAGACTGAGGATGGTGAGGGCCTGCTTGCCTTGGCAGAAAGCGGGGATGGGGCCTGAGGGGTCGGGAGACGAAGAGAGAGAGGAGAGAGGGGGTGAGTGGAATCTGAAGGGTGGGGGATGGGATGAAGGAGGAAGTTAAATGATGGGGTCTGAGGGATGGGGCAGTGGAAGCAGAAGGAGAAGAGTGGGTAAGAGGAATGGAAAGAAGGCTCAACAGAGCGAAGCAAACGAGTGGTTCTGATCGGTCTATCGCAACAGGACACGCATGAAGAACAGAGAGGGTGGGAGAGTGCGCTTCTATAAACAGTAAACTGTTTTGGTCAAATCTGAAGCTTTTCAGTCAGCTCACCTGTCAGAGCGTTGGCCTGGAGGTCCAAGTATTTAAGCTGGGGTAAACTGGCGAGGCGTGGGGGAATGCTCCCTGTGAACTTTTTGAACCCGAGGTTCAGAGCAGTGATGTCCGTGGGCAGTTTCGAAAACGGCTGCAAGCTGCCCGAGAAACTGTTGTGGCTTAGAAAGAGGCCATTCGGAAAGGAACTTTTGGACTTGAAACAGTTTGCTTGAACGGCTCCTGTCAGGCGATTGTGCGAAAAATCAGTCGCTACGCCGCTCCTATCGCACACGATTCGCGGGAACGAGCCCGAAAACAAATTGTGCGAAACGTCTACGGCCCACACGTCTTTGGTGAAGCGGATCGTGTTGAAGTTTCCGCTCAGCCTGTTCCCGCTTACGAGAAAATCGCACTTTATTTGCTGCCCGCTCAGGTCCCCGGAAAGCCGGTTCGCACGTAAATCAAGACCAATCGTTGTCTGCAGCAGAGCAGGGGGGATATTCCCGGTTAGCCAATTCGAGTTCAAATATAACTGTTCAAGGTACGGCAGCGTTGCGAAGGCAGCAGGGATCGGCCCGGACCGCCTATTATTCCCGAGTTCCAGAGATAATAGCAGAGCCGCGTACGCAGCAGGACGTTGTGGTAACCCGCCGGAGAAGAAATTCTGAGCGGCGTACACGTTGCGAAGCGAAGGCATGCGAAAAATGGCGAAAGGAAGGGGACCGAGCCAGCAAGCCAGAGGCCCGTCACAACGAGATCGGTGAGATTCGTTAACTGGCCGATAGAATCGGAAAGGGTTGCGGGGAACTTTCCGCCGGGCATGCGCGCAGTACGGTTGCAAAGGCGGGCGTGGGTGGGGCGGCCGCGAGCCTAGTGTTGACGTTGGCCTGCAGGTTTTGCTGCAGGTTTAGCTGCTTAACAACGCCGCCGGTGCAGCAATTCACGCCGGTCCACGTGCACGGATTGTTCGCCGGGATAGGCGGCAGCGCGGCCGCGAAGATCGCCCTGAGAGCCGCCGTGTCAGCCGCCGAAGCCTGCGACGGTTCACTGCTGGTTCCGCCGACCGCTGCGTCGGACGCGTATCCTGTCCAGCAGGGATCATAGAGTAATGTTCTCTCCGCCCGCCGCGCACCGAGATATTGCGCCGCGCGATGCGGAACTGTCCGCGCGGAGAGTCCCCGTCCGCGGCGAGCAGCAGGTGGCTTCGATACAAGCTGCCTCGATATAGGCGGGAAAGCCGTCGTCAGTGAAGAGTAGAGGAGAAGCAGGAGGAGGCACGCTGTCGTACTAGCGTGAGAGCGCAACGCCGCGTCGTGAAGAACGGTCACGGAACGCGCGACTCGAGGGTAGTAATCTGCGTCCGCCATGTGCGACTCCGAGTCAAGCGATTTCTAGCTTCAGAAACTTGTTCCCGTCACGTTGAGAACCAAAACCTATGAAGTTCAGGTTTCACTCACCTGAAATGCGTTTCCAGCGAGGAACTACGAATGGAGCTAATGGAGGCAATACGAACTGAGCTTTCAAGATAAGATGGTGGTGCTATCCTGGAGGTGAGTGCTTGACATCCCCCCAAGAAGTGTCCTACGTGGCAGTTTCCACGTCGGAAGACACACACGTGCCATGCGATATCCGCGCAGACTGCCGTCCACACTGAACCAGTCATTGCGGGTTCGTACAGTATAGGGGTGCGACGCTCGAGCGCTAAACGTGAGTGACGTCAGAGTGATAAAGAGAAAGGCAATGAAATGAATGGCTGCTGCCACAGCAGCAGTATGGACGAATGGAATGGACGTGACGGCACCGCGAGCAACGTGGCTTGGCAGGCATTCACGCACAGGGCAGGCAACAACAGGTGAATTAGGTTAGTGGAACACTAGGTGAACGGCGGGTAAGTGGAAGTGGGAGGGGTTGAGTTGCTGTGGTTAGGCTGGTTTCTGTTAGGTTGGGTGAGGTGAGGACACCCAAAGCAAGTGCTTGGAGCACCTGGGTGGGTCTGAAGATGCAAGTGTTGGCAACCTGGGGGGGCCTAGTTGGGGAACATTTGCGCGACCTACTTCTGATCCGTCAGGTGAAGTAACCAGGTTACGATTATCTGGAACGGGTTTCGCGAAAATTTGCGGTTGCAGCACGAAAGATTGTCCACTTCGACGAATCTGGGGTGGAATGTCAGCCATTGTGGCACTGACGAGCATTGCCTATAAATGGCCTCGATATTTGTAAGGCAATAGGAACAACAATACAGATATCAACGGGCAACCCGGTTATAGATGCAGCCCGATTATAGATGCAGCTCGAGAGATGCAGCCAGCAGCACTCGAAAAGCTCGATCCCAAATTCTGACAGAGGCTGGAGGCTACTGGAATAGAGTTCACTCCCAGAATACCATCACACTTTCAAGAACGGGAAAAAGCAGCAGAGTCTTTGGTTCATATAACGATTCGTTGTGTTCGCGCATATTGTGTCAATAACGAGATAGAAGTTTTCCTGAACACCTGTCTTCACTTCTTCATGCCGTTAGCTTTTTCGCTTATCGATTCCCCGATTTCAGATCGAACGATCCCGATGGACGGTTGTGATAACACGACCAATTCCACGGTTCAGACGATCCCGCTTCTGACCGTAGGCAGGCCCGCGAGATGAGCAATGGAAGCAGCGACTCAAGGATGTATTTCAGGTGCGTTGAAACGAGCCTCAGAAAGAGGCTCGGAACGAGGGACAAAATGGAACGAAACGCGTCAGAACGAGTCTCGAGGCGACCAAATGGGAGCAACAAGTCGCCGGGGGTAAATAGATTACTGATTCGGAGCAGGTGAGGGCAATGCCACGTGGTTTTATTTGCTTATGTGGGTCGGAACGAACCCTAGATGAACCAAATGGAACTGACGGGTCATGATGGTGCTGTTTAATATGGCTGATAGGGTCGATTCGCAGTGGGGAGAGATGATATGTTTTTAGAGTCGACTCAAAAGCCGCTGATGAACAAGGCTCAGGGAAACGACTGGATGGTTCCAGCTGCAGTTTGTTTCCTCTCGACCATCTCCCAAACCCCCCCCCCCCCCCCCCCTCTCCCCCCACCCCCTTCCCCCTTCTCCTCCATCCCCCCTTCCAGGCTTCGATGAAGTACGTGATGATGAACAAGGCGCACATGCGTAGCCTCCACCCGACTTCACCCCCAACCTCCACCCCAAACACCCACGCCCCCCCACTTCCCCCTTCCCAGGCTTCAATCGAGTACGTGATAACAGGCGACGGACAACGACTGGTTCCAGCTGCTGTGCTTCCTCCTCTCGATCCACTCCCCACTCCCCTCCTCCCCCACCCCCTCCTCCCCCCCCTCCCCCCTCCCTCTCCTCCTCCCCCCTTCACAGGCTTCAATTGAGAGGCTTCTGCCAGCTGGCAACGACTCCTCCTGTTGTTGTGAGACTCCTCCAACCCCCCCTCTTCCAATCCTTCCCCATTCCTCAACCCCTCTCAGGCTCTGATCGAGTACGTGAAGATGAACATGAACAAGGCGCGGGACAGCGACTGGTTCCATTCCAGCTGTCATTTGTTTCCGCTTCACCCAACACCCACCCACACACCCCCTCTCCCCCACTCTTCCCCTTTCCCCTCTCTCCTCCTTTTTCAAGCTTAAATCGAGTACGTGAAGTTGAATTAGGCGCGGAGCAACTACTGGTTGGTCCCAGCTGCTCTGCTTCCTCCTCTCAATCCACTCCCCACGCCCCCCCTCCCCCCCCCTCCCCACCCTCCCCCTTCTCCCCCCTTCCCAGGCTTCGATTGAGTTCATGAAGTGGTAAAAGGCGAGGGCAACGACTGGTTGGTTCCAGCTGCCACCTGCTAATGCCGACGGGACCAAGTGGAAGGGCACATGCTGGTGGGTGGGGTGGGGTGGCGTGGGGTGCGTGAGTGCGTGGGTGGGGGGGTGGGTGGTGTGGCGTGGGGTGGATGGGTGGGTGGGTGCATGGGTGGGTGGGGGGTTGCGTGGGTGGGCAGGTGGGCGGGTGGGTGGGTGGGTGGGTGGGAGGGTGGGTGGGTGGGTGGGTGGGTGGGTGGGTGGGTGGGTGGGTGGGTGGGTGGGTGGGTGGGTGGGTGGGTGGGTGGGTGGGTGGGTGGGTGGGTGGGTGGGTGGGTGGGTGGGTGGGTGGGTGGGTGGGTGGGTGGGTGGGGGGCTTTTGATTCTTGACTGGAATTCTCATCTTGGTACTTGCTCTTCAGTTCCAGGGTACTCGTCTCTTTCTCGGTACTTTCTCCGCACGTGCTTGCAGGAAAGTGAACTTATCTCTGCCTGACTCGTGACTCCTCCCCCCCGCACCAACCTTGCCATCCATCTCGTCTCTCGTCCCCCCTCAATCCCCTCAATCCCCAATCCTCTCTTCAATCCCCTCTATCCGCCCCCTCCCGCCTCTCACTCCCCTCAGCATGCCAACTCTTCCCGTCTCACTCTGCCCGGGCCTCCTCTGCTTAACATTCTCTCTCCCTCTCGCTCCTCTCGCTCCCTTGGCAGCCCGCTCCTACTAGCAACGAACGCAGCAGTGGCGACAGGCGTCGTCACAGCAGAGAGCGCAACGTGTGTCATTTTTTTGTCGACTCAGAAGTGATCCCCTCGCTTCTCGCACTCCCCTGGAAGCCGGCCCCTACTAGCAACGAACGCAGCGGCGGCATCAGGTGGCGTCACAGCAGAGAACACAGCGAGTGCTTTTGAGCCGCCGCAAAGGTTGGCAGGCGTCGGCACAGCAGAGAACTCAGCGAGTGTGACCCAGCCCAACCCAGCGTACCAGCAGACGACTTCTGAGGCGCCTCAACAGCAGAAGACTTTCGAGGCACAGCAGAGAACTCAACGAGTGTGACCCACCCAGCCCAAGTTCAAAGCGAAGCGCCCCTCGCTTGCGTGGCAGCCGTGCGAAAGTGTCGACTGAAATGTGTACACTTGACGTCCTTTTGGGCTGCCCAACCCAGCATACCAGCAGACGAATTTTGAGGCGCCTCAACAGCAGAAGACTTTCGAGGCACCTCAGAAAACACAGCGAGTGTGATCCACCCAGCCCAACCCAGCGTAGCAGCAGCGCCGCCTCAAGCTTGTGACGACGGGAGGAGCAGCCACTGTTGCCGAAAATCCTCTGGCATATGACGATACGATGAGACTGATCCAAACCACGTGTACGCATTATCTCAAACGTAGTAGAACAGTATATCAAGCACAATTCGTTCCCCCTCCATGCAATCTACCAGGGCAATTCAGAGGGTTTTCAATGGATCTTTCGTGCAGGCATCTGGAATTGTGAGGCAGCAGCCGGGTTCCCTGCCAGCAGCACGTGCCACACTGCCTCACAGGGAAGAAGGTGTCTGTAACAGTAGCACGTGCCATGCTGCCTGTGACCTACCGTATCTTGGACTTGCTCACATTAAAGCCAGGGATGGTTGTACATTCTATGCACAAGCAAGCAGCGGGGTACCACACAAGTTGGGGTTCCCTTGCTTTAGAGATACTCTCTTCAGCTTGCTCAGAGCAACCTGAACAGCCCGATTCCCTCCCTGTTTTGAACGAGCCTCCTAGCACTGCTACACTGACTGATAAGAGACCATTCGAACAGGGGTGATTGCATTTGATTGCATTACTTTACAAGCACAAGCAAGAATGACCTTATGTCTATGTACAGGCAGGCAGTGGTTTCCCACACAGGTTGGGGTTCCCTGGCTTAAAAGAGGCTCTCTTTAGCTTGCTCAGAGCAGCCGGAACAGCCCGTGACAACTGATTCCCTGCCAACAGCACGTTCCGTATGCCTGCTGGCCAAACCGCGGGGATTGTTCCCGATAGCTTGTTATACGATAACCCGAGTCCCTGTAACCTCTGCAGTTCGCTCACGCCAGCTGGGATTGATCCTGCAAGGGTGTTCTTGTCTAGGAGAAGGCGCTTGAGGCGGGTAAAGGAGCTGATTGTAGCGGGGATGGGGCCGGAGAGGCGGTTGGAGGAGAGGAAGAGGTAGGCGAGGGAAGCGGAGCAGGAGGGGGAGGAGAGCGGGGTGGGCGGGCCAGAGAGGTCGTTGGAGGCGAGATTCAGGTAGAAGAGCTGTTGCTTGGCATGGCAGAAAGCGGGAATGGGACCTGTGGGGGGAAGGGCCCAGGAGCAGGGAGAGGAGAGACAGGGAAGGAGGAAAAAGAGTTGTAAGAAAAAGAGTCGTATGGGTGAGGTAGGTGATTTGTTGCCCCGCCTTGCAGAAATCAGGAATGGGACCTGAGAGGTGGGGGAGGGGAGGTAGGAGGAAACCCAGGATGGAAAAAGGCGGAACGGATTATTTATGAAAACAGAAAGCAGAGATGGGTAGCACGAGGAGGAGGAGAGACGGGAGCGAAAGAGGGGGAGGGGTGAGGGAGGGAGGGGTGGGTGGGCGATGGAGGAGAAGTTGAGGGGCTGCTGGGCCTGACCGACGGCGGGGATCGGGCCTGTGGGATGAGGGAGGGGAGGTAGGAAACACAGGGATGAAAAAGGAGGGAACGGAGATTCGATTGAAGGGGAGAGAAAGAGAGAGGGGGCCGAAAGTGGAGGGTGGGAGGGAGGAGAGGGGTGGGCAGCGAGGGTTATATAGGCCTGGCAGAAGGTGGGGATGGGGCCTGAGGGGAAGGTGAGAACCAGGCAGAGAAGAAACAGCTGAGTGGAAATCAGAGAGACAGAGAAAGCACATTTTTGGTGGAGAAAGCAAATTTGTGGGGCACGGCATGAGGGATGGGAGATTGAAGAAAGATACGAGCATGGATGGGATGGGGCAGCTGAAGCAGAAATGTGGATACAAAGAGTCAACAGTGGTCAGCTTACCTGTCAAAGCGTTTGCCCCAAGGTCCAAGTAGTTTAGCTGGGGTAAAGTGGTGAGGCTTTGGGGAATTCCTCCTGTAAATTTGTTGAAGCCCAGGTCCACAGCAGCAATGCCCCTGGGCAGGTTCGCAAAAGCCTTCAAGCTGCCCAAGAAATTGTTGTGGCTTAAGAAGAGGGCAAGCTGCATAGGATTCGCGGTCTTGAAGCAGTTGGCTGGAACGGTTCCGGTCAGGCGATTGCGCGACAAATCAGCGCTTTCAAGGCTGCCCGAACTGCACAAAATCTGCGGGAATGAGCCCGAAAATAAATTCTCAGAGACGTCGATGAAGCTCAGGGATTCGCCGAACCGGATCGTGTTGAAGCTTCCGGTCAGCCTGTTCCGGCTTAGGCCAATGAGAGAAGCTTTTATTTGCTGCCCGCTCAGGTCGCCAGATAGCCGGTTCCGATCTAAAACAAGTGCCGACAGCTCCATTTTCAGCAGGGCAGGTGGAATATTTCCGGTCAGCCCGTTCGTGTTTAAAAGAACCACCCGAAGCATCGGCAGCGTCGCGAGGGCAGCGGGAATCGGCCCGGACAGCCAGTTAATCCCAAGATCCAGGTTCGCTAGCGAAGCCAACGCGGCGTATGCAGCAGGACGTTGTGGTAACCCGCCCGAGAAGAAATTCCGCGCCGCGAACAGGGAGTAAAGCCTCGGCAGGCGGAAAAACGCGACGGGAAGAGGACCAGCGAAGCAGTTATCCTCGAGATAGAGAACCTCGAGTTTCGTTAGACGGGAAACGGATCGTGGCACCGCACCAGCGAGCCAGAGGTTAGACAAACGGAGATCGATGAGATCCGTCAACTGGCCGATAGACTCGGAGAGGGTTGCGGGGAACTTTCCGCCGGGTTCGCGCGCAGTACGGTTGCAAAGGTAGCGCGTGGGTGGGAGCAAGAGACGGCTGACGCTGCTCGTGAGGTTTAATTCTACAACAGCGCCGTTCGCGGCGCATGTCACGCCGGGCCACGCGCACGCGTTCGGCTTCGCCGGGATGGGCAGCAGCGCCGCCGTGAAGATCGCCTTGAGAGCCGCCGTGTTAGCCGCCGAAGCCTGCGGCGAGGCTGCGGATACGCGCAACCCTAAACTCGTGGACAGGCCGTGAGGGGAGCTGGTTCCGCCGCCCGCCGACGCTACTTCTGCGCGATCCGCGGGAAATGCTCTTTCCGCGGGTAATATTTTCTCCGCGGATGGTTCCTCCGCCCGCCGCGCGGCGAAAAGCTGTGCCGCGGGAGGCAGAACCGTCCGCGCGGAGTCTCCTGGTCCGCGGCGAGCAGCATGCAGGTTCGATATAAACTGCCTCGATATGGGCCGGAGAGCCGTTGTCGGTGAGCAGTAGAGGAACAACAGGAGGAGGCACGCTGTAGTGCTAGCATGAGCGCGCAGCGCGCCGTAAGGAACGGTGGTCGAGCGCGCGATTCTGGGATAATACGCGCTAGCCATTATATGCAAGGTGTGACTCGCGTAGCTTCTTACATAGGTAGGATAAGGCCGATACGCGCACTCAGCTAGGAAGTCGAGATGAAAGGGAACGTATAAAGATGGAATGAGAGATGGAGAGTTCGACCTGCCTATATAGCTCGTGCTGAACCAGTTCCTGATCGAGAATAAGTGCAACGCGTGTGCTGAATGTAAATGCTGCGACCGCGATAAGGCAGATGCTTGCGGTTACAGCCGTACGGACGAGTGGTATGGACGCGACAGGTTTGCTATGGTTTAGGGTGGTTTCGGTTGGGTTGAGTGAGGTGAGAGTCGAGGCAACCATAAGGAGGTTGACGACGAGAGACAGCTTGGCGCTTTGGGCAAGGCACGGGGAATTGGTGCAAGCAACTGATGAATGCAGCAGTATTGGAGATACTACATTGATGAATGATAGTTCCAGTACGGTTTATTATTGCTAACAGTCCTATGTAGAACGGTGATCCAGACAAACCGCAGATTTTCTTGCTGGGTTCTGGAATTTTGGAGGTTGGGTAGGGTGGGTGTGGTGTGAGGTGAAACATTTGCGCTTGAGCAGTTTGAATGGTGTCAACTCGAACGGCACATTTGTTGTTAGTATCAGTTTGTACAAACATGAATCTCTCAAGGACCTAAACAGAAAGAGGAAAAGGAGGGAAAGAAAGACTCAACAAGGAGAAGGGAAATGAAGAAAGAAAGGGAGAAGGAAAGTGAAACTGCCACAAAGAAACCAAACGCAACACACATAAAACCCCCCCTCAAGATACCCAATCAAAACCCCCAATCAAGACACCCCATCAAGACGTCCCATCCCACACCCCATTCCCCCCCCCCCCCCCCCCCCCCAATCACAACAGCGTATCCACCATGTACGGGGCCTCCACCCAAAGAGCCCCGCCTTCCACATCGACATCGTCCCTCTCCCGATCGACCAAGTCTACGTTAATTCCCCCCATGGAAGACGCCGCCCGCAGCAGGATGACTCGGGCCTGCGCACGTTGTAACGCCACCCCGATGAGCGCCTTCAGTGACCCTAAAAGATAAGCCGAAAACACAGAGTCGTCCTCCCGACAAGCCCCCTCGCGACACAGCTAACCCCATGTGCGCATCCCCCTGCTGACGAAGCCACCGCCGAAAACGACCGCCGAGACACCCCCACGTCTCTACTATCAGAGGGGTGAACTGCACGCCCCGGTTGCGTGCAAGCAGAGGCGCGTAATCACTCGTTTTGCGACGCTCCCACTCTCTTGCCGCCACACCTATTTGACGCCCGCACTGTCCTAGCAGGGATGGAGACAGCGATAGCGGGTCCGCGACGCTGATCTCTAGGGCGTGAGCCTCTCCAGCCATTGGTCGTCGCACCGCCACATCAATCCGCTTCCCCTGCAGCACCACACTATCCTCCATTGTCACCACCCTCCCCGACGCCTTAGAAATCTTCGCCACCGCAAACTTCACCTCATCATGCACCCGAGATGGACCATGCTGGTGCTTGCATCTCAGGGCATGATGCGGGTCTGCTGGGTCACCATACACTGTACCACAAACACACCTCCCCGCCACCTGCAGCTGCTGAATTGGGAGCCCGAGCCGTATAGCAGCAGCAATGCCCCACTCGGCCGCAGTGAATGTGAGATCTGAGTGAGCCGGAACCGCCGAGACCCATGCACCCGCCCCCGGGCCCTGAAGGGATGTGAAACGGGCCAAGGTAGCATCGTCACGAGCCAAACGTCGCAGTGCCTGGAGCTCCTCTACAGCTAATTGCCGCTGCCGCGCCTGGAAAAGCCGAACAGGAGGGGCCGCTACACACAGAGGTAAGCCCGGTATCTCCTGGCGGATAGTCGCTGGCAGCTGCTCAAGAGCCTTGGCAAACCACGGGTCAAGAAACTCTGCCCCTGTCGAAGTGGTGAGGTACTCTGCAACAACGCGTGCTGAACCAGTTCCTGATCGAGAATAAGTGCAACGCGTGTGCTGAATGTAAATGCTGCGACCGCGATAAGGCAGATGATTGCGGTTACAGCCGTACGGACGAGTGGTATGGACGCGACAGGTTTGCTATGGTTTATGGTGGTTTCGGTTGGGTTGAGTGAGGTGAGAGTCGAGGCAACCATAAGGAGGTTGACGACGAGAGACAGCTTGGCGCTTTGGGCAAGGCACGGGGAATTGGTGCAAGCAACTGATGAATGCAGCAGTATTGGAGATACTACATTGATGAATGATAGTTCCAGTACGGTTTATTATTGCTAACAGTCCTATGTAGAACGGTGATCCAGACAAACCGCAGATTTTCTTGCTGGGTTCTGGAATTTTGGAGGTTGGGTAGGGTGGGTGTGGTGTGAGGTGAAACATTTGCGCTTGAGCAGTTTGAATGGTGTGATGGTGGAAGAGTGCGATGCGAACCACGGTCAGTAAAACTGCTTTTCTTGATGTCCAGTCAGCGGCCAGGCTATCAGGAGATAAAACGGTTTTAGCTCATTTTGGTCTACGAGAACAGACTGGCAGTTGCTGGTTAATCTGAGGGTACACACATTGATACCTAAGCTTCCACTTTTAAGCACGAACAGAGAGAGAGAGAGAGAGATCATCAAAACAGCCATCACTAATCATGCTTGAGGGAAACCCACCCGAACAACTGCTTGCTTGCAGAGACCCACGGAAACACGATAATTCCTCCTCAAGAGGAGAAATTCCCAGGTAGAGAAGGGATTCTCCAAGCGTGGCAGGCACGACACAACTTTCAATTGTCAAACCCAGTCAATCAACTCCTGCGCCTTCAACAATCTCAACTCACCCCTTACAGTGCCACAAGCAACCATCTTCCCGTGCTACACTAACATATGGATATCAGTACTATAATTGTTGCGATATCTTTAATGTAATCATGTTACCGTAATACGGGGCACTCTGATCAAGGGTTCAACGGATTGGCAGGGTTCCACGAGTACGCAACAAGCACGAGGAAGCCCGTGATCAATGCGAACCACGCCATTGCGTTATCTGCACACAACAAATGAACATCATAATAAAAAAGCCACGATAAAACCACATTCAAAGAACAAAATGAGAAGTTCATTCGAACACTTACCTTGCTGCAGTTTTATCAGCCTCGGACGATCGTCTATTTCCGAGTCTGACACGTCACCCTTAGAGGCTGCAGCTGCTGCCAACCGGTCTATTTCGTCCATATCAATTGGACTCACACCAGGGGCCTTCCCAAAAGGGCTCCAATCTTTGAAGGGGAAAGGTAATGGAGGAAGGGAGTCAGTGAACTTGAAAAATGCCGGGGGCAGCAAAGTCTTTTCCTCCTCCCTGCTTTCTGCCCTGCTTCCGGTGTTGTCAGGGTTAGTGAATGTCTCAAAGGGTGGTTCTGATTCGATCAGTGCTGCTGGTAGTGGTGCACTTGCCTCCTTTGCTGCTGCTGCTGACGATGGTGCTACTGCTGCTGATGGCAATGATACTGCTGCAACTGCTGCTGACGATGTTGCTGCTGCTGATGATGATGATGATGATGATGATGATGAAGAAGAAGCGGACGCAGTTGCTACATATGCAGAAGCCATGACTGGAACAGGCACTGGAGCTATAGCTCTTTCAGGAAGTTGACTTGGAAGTGAAGAGACAGGGAGATTTGGATCCTCTGCTGTGCGCTTCGTAGGTACGACGGGAGGGAAGTCCGGTATGGTAGGGAGGTTCGGGGAGGCTGGGAGGAGAGGCGCAGGAACGGTGGATTCGCTGTTGAGAGCAGTAGCCCTGAGAGACAAAAAGAAAGGCAGGCATGGGTGAGGATGGGGGCCATTTTTTAGTCGACTCAAAAGTCACCTCGCGAGGAGGGTGGATTCGCTGTTGAGAGCACTGGCCCTGAGAGACAAGAAGAAAGGCAGACATGGGTGAGGATGGGGGCCATTTTTTAGTCGACTCAACGGTCACCTTGCGAGGATGGTGGATTCGCTGTTGAGAGCACTGGCCCTGAGAGAGAAGAAGAAAGGCAGGCATGGGTGAGGATGGGACCCGGACGTGATCGTAGAGAGTTCCAATAGAATGGCTGCAAGCGGCCTTGCAGAGGTGGTGGGACCACAGATGCGAGCAGTTGACACAGAGAGAAAAAAGGGGGCATACGTGGATGGGGATGGGGGGAGGAAAGGGGAGTTAGGGGGGCAGACGTGTGTTTGAGAGTTTGATTGAAGTCGAGAGTTTTGAAGTAGATGTAAGCAAGCAAAAGGGGCAACCTATGGTGGTCACATGAAGTCAGTGATTCTTTTAGACGTCTCAAGAAGAGAGCTCCAATAGAGGTCGAGAGTTTTGAAGTAGATGTAAGGGCGTGGCTCCATTTTGTTTTTTTTTGCATTTTTCTGGACGGTTCGAATATTTCGAACCGGACGGTCCTAATATCGATTTTCCCCGTCCGGATGCAATGGTGTCACTTTTTCACAGTTTTGAATTTCCCGAAGTACTGTAGCCTCGTTAGAGGCTCTGTAGCGTTGTTACATTATTCACGACACGTTTTTCGCGCGCCATATGAATTCGCGCGCCAGTCTATAGTCAGAACTGTTTTTCCGTCCGTTTGGTTTCCGAAATGTCAAGGGTTCAGATTCTGAACAGTTGAAAGGAGGGAAAAGTGACGCCACGGTTCGGATTGTTGGCGACGTCGCACATACTTTCACAAACTTCTTAACGAAACCATGCGAATCAAGTAACCTGTCGTCGGTTCGAACCGTCGACAGTTCGAACCGTCGGGGGCAAAATGGAGCCACGCCCTAAGCAATTAAAAGGGTAACTTATGGTGGGTATGTGGGGAGGAAGAGGAGACGGCAGAAAAGGCGCTATTCTGATTCGTTTTGAAAATGTGACCTGTTTTTTGGGGGAAGAACAATGGAATCACTGCTGAGAGCAGTGGATCCGAGGACGAAAAGGAGGCAGAAGGAAAGGAAAAGGGGGAAACATGATATTTGAGAGTGCTGAAAATGTTGCTGCACTCTCTAAAGGTTGGTGGATTATCTGTCGAGAGCAGTGGACCCATTCCCTGACTTTACATAAAGCGAAGTGGTTACCAGAGCTCACCTGGCTTTCGCCCATGACACTGGACTGAAGGCACTGACCTCTGACATACGAAGAGATAGTGGTAACCAGATTTCACCTCCCATTCACTGATGACTTCAGCCACGGATCTCCAACAGACAAAGAATCAGTAACCGAAGCTCACCTGGCTTTCATCCAAGACTGAATCCCCTTGACCAGCAGGCCAACAGCAATGAGACGTTTTTTGGGTCGCTCAAAAAAACGTCTCAAACAAAGTCATCAAAGCTCACCTGGGTTTCACGGGTTTCACCCGTAACTGAGGCCCTTTGACCAACAGGCCAACAACGCCGAGATGAATCTTGTGTCGACTCAACATTCGCCCATGACAAGGAAACAGTCATCAAAGCTCACCTTGCTTTCACCCATGACTGAATTCCTTTGACCAGCAGGCCAACAGCGAGCACTGCCGCTGCCAGCTGACCCCTCGTTAGTATCACAGCCGAGCCATCCGCGATCCCGAGCCTCCCTTTCAGGTTCGGCGGTCGAGGCACAGCCTGCACGCTTTCCTGCAGCTGCTTCGGCAGGGCGACAGGCTCGGCAGCAGCCGTCACTAGGCCCTGCCACGCGCTGCTGGACGCACGTTGAGCGCGACTTAAAGCATCCTGCGCTACCGCAGAAATGGCGGGAGAAGGAGTCTCCGTTGTATTTGTTGCTGATGCTGCTTCGCTTGGTGGCACGTCTTCTGGAGGCGCAATTTGTACTAATTCTGCTGCTGTGGCTGTGTCTGCGGCTGCGGCTGCTGATGCATCTGATTCCGCCGCGAGAGCCGTTTCCGAAGCGGAAGCATTCGCAGGTGCGGTATCAGGCACGGAGGTATCAGCAGGTTCGGGGGCAGCAGCTGTTACTGAACTAGTAATAGCAGGCACGGAGGTACTAGAATCAACAGGAGAGGAACCGACGGCAGGAGAAGAAGAATCAGCAGGGACCTCCTTGGGGAGGCTACTAGCAGATGAGCTAGTACTAGCCGTTGATTTATTTTTCGCGCTTTCCCCCCGCCAGCCATCGTGTCGTCTCTGCAGGTTCCGCCTGTCGCGAGCCGCGTCGTCGGCTTTCGAAATCTTCGCCTCAACGACCACCAGCCGCCGTTTTTCGCGAGGTAACTCGAACTGGCGGCGACGTTCAAAGCGGTGGTTACCCGGAAAAAAAAATCGCAGGAAGGAAGTCTGCGAAGGGGAACCGGCGCTTGAGCGATAGCGTACTAAAGGGTTCCGCGGCCTGTAGTTGAGGCCGGGAGCGCCGCGGATAGTTGCGACCGCCATTATCTCTTCTTGTGACCCCAAGTTCCCCTACTATAGCTGCGCACTACACGTGCGGCGTACTTCAGAGGTAAGTATTGATATTACAATGACGGTTAAAGCAGAAAATTGGTCCTATCACTGCCGATAGCAGATAGTACAATGACGGATCGCAGCGTAAAAGAGATAAGCACTAACGTAGTTCGCCGATTATCTGCCTCATCTCGACCAAGTGGAAAGATAACGTGACCTGTCGTTCTGCGGGCATGCATGCAGTGCACGCCGTCCGCTAGCCAAGCTTCTTCAGCTCAGTGCGACTCCAGTGCAGACAACTGTACTTGACTGAATATTATTCCTCATGGCAGGGGTAAAAGTCGGCAATTTTGGGGGGGAATGCCGCAAGATTGACTCGAAACCGCAGTGCATCCATTCTCTATCACCCTGTACCCCCCCTTGAAAGGCGATGCTCAACAAGCGTTCAGGGAAGGCATTCCCCCGAGTTTGGGTTGGACCTTGAAAATGCTTGAGAATGCGCACGTCCGCTGGTGGTGCCATGAAGGGAATCCAAATGCTTTTGGCGGGAAATCCAAGCTGACGGTGTCAAGAAGAGTGCTGTTCCCTAGAAACATTGCGCCAAGCCGTTGCCATGTCAGAAGCAGATGAGTTGACGTCAGCACAATCCGAGACTTAAAGCCCGCGTCCCAAATTGCGGACCGCGAGGGTCAAGTTTTTAAAACTTGACGAAGTTGAGTGTCCAAGCTTTTGAAAGTCACGCACCTGCAATTTGGGACTTCCGAAGACAGATTCACTCACCAGGGGGAAAACCGAGGGTTGGCTGGGTCTCGCGAAAAAAACGAACCTAGACGAAATTGCGAACTCTCGCCAAAGCCTACACCGGAAAAACTCCCTCTGGTCAACTTTTAAAAGCATGAACAATTTGGGCCGCCGGCTTTAACGTTGGAGGGTGCTTAGAGTCAAAACTTGTTTGCTGTATAGGGTCCAATCTCTTCATACTTGCTGGTATAATTATCTCCCTACACAAAAAACAAATACACAAAGCCTCCTAAATAAAATGGAGTATATGAAACTATTTTCTAATGATATCTCTGAGAGGAAATAAATACTCTGGTAAAGCGTAACATGGCCTAGCTGAAGATGACTGAAACGAAGAAACATGATCTTCAATCATAGCATAAAGCACAACTCATATACAACACTTCGGTAGTCATCCAGTAACTTTCGCGACTACGTATAGGCAGGCACTTGAATCACCCCTCCTGCGACGCGATCTGGATGCCTGCACTCCTAACACTACAGCTAGCCCGTTCTTGGAGTTATTTCCATTCGGCCTGAGCAGCTAATGTAGGCCAGAATGACTCGCGCCCGGCTGTTCGTTTCCGCGGCTCGCGGGTTCCTCGCGAGGCGCGGAGAGCACACTACCAGCATCTCCTCTCTTGGCACTGGCGCCGATTCCTTCCTGTGCCACGTCAGCAGAGCTTTAAGCTCCTGCTCATGGATCCGATCCGTTGAAGTGGATCCAAGCCGTCTAGAGATCGGTCCTGATCATCTCAACCGTTCGCTGGTTCGGAATGCGTCCGCCTGTTTCTCAATCTCCTCCGCGCCGCACTATGGCGGCTCGAACTGCCAAGACCCTAGACCGCCTAGAAGCTACAGGTTCAGCACCAGCGCCGCTGGCGCCGCAGCTGACGCTATTGGCCTAGATGATTCTTCGGCGGCTCCGGTCGCCGAATCGCACGACGCGTTTCGCAACGAGGCGATTCGCAATGTGGCTATTATCGCGCACGTCGATCACGGCAAGACGACGCTCATGGATCGCCTCATCCGCGCCTCGAGCTCCGCTGCTGCCCCCACCACCTCCGCCAGCGGCGGCGGCGGCGGCGGCTTGGGATCGTCGGAGTTGCCGTGCGATCGAGTGATGGACTCGATCGCTCTGGAGCGAGAACGAGGAATCACGATCGCGAGCAAGGTGCGCATCATAGCCTAGACAGCAGGAGACAGCAGAGAGCACCCCAAGATATAACATCCAGCCGAAGCCAAGGCAGGCGTTGGAAGGCCCAATATTGACACTTGTTATTTCCCAGCGGACCCCCAAGCCTTCAACCAAAAACCCGAAACCCGAAGCCTTACAGTTTAAACCCTTTGAAGCCTCAAGCCATACTTTCTTCACTTCTTCACCCATTTTTTTCGGTCTTTGGATACTGGGGTTGATGCGGTTCACGTCACGTATTTGCTTCCTGCCTTGCGTGATCGTGGTAGCAAGTTAGCAACTAATGTTGGAAAAATGTGCCGTTTATGATTCTGGCATTTTGACAGTACACTTCGGTCACGTTCAGAGGCACCACGCTCAACCTCGTGGACACGCCTGGTCACGCCGACTTTGGAGGGGAGGTGAGATCCGAGGGAGGTGACATCCGAGGGAGGTGAGATCCGAGGGGAGGTGAGATTTGGAATGTTGGAAGGCGACATCTGGATTAGGGGGAAGCCAGGGCATGTGAGGTGATGGGGGACGATGAGTCGAAGGGGAGGTTGGGTCTGCTATTGACTGAGTGGAATCTCTTCCGTGCCATGCCATGCCACATGGTGCCATGCCACATGGTGCATAAGTTTTATGCCACATGGATGGATAAGTTTTATCTTGTGGATCTTGCCTTTGTTGAGCGTTTAATCCATCAGTTTTTGGGTTTTGGTAAGTCTTTCCCCCTCTCACTCAATTCATTTATCCCCCACCCACCCCACCCCTCCCCACAGGTGGAGCAAGTGATGGGCATGGTGGATGGGGCGCTGCTATTGGTCGATGTGGCAGAGGGGCCCACACAACCCCCACCTCTCATCCCCTCTTTCCTCCCCTCCCTCCCCACAGGTGGAGCGGGTGATGGGCATGGTGGATGGGGCGCTGCTATTGGTCGATGTGGCAGAGGGCCCCTTGGCGCAGACCAAGTTTGTGTTGGGGAAGGCCCTGCAGAGGGGCTTAAAGCCCATCGTCGTGCTCAACAAGTGCGACCGACCCTCAGGTGATTCCAACAGAGCCTCAGGTGATTAGAACAGATCTATGCTTGTGGGGTGTAGTGGAGACAGTTTTAGCTCAGAGCCAATATAGATTGCCATTCTGGTAATTCCAACTTATTGGTAGTTCTTTTCATGCCGATGCAGCATTCTTTAATTGCCATGCCATAGCATGCCATACCATGCGATTCCATGTGTTGCGATACCACGCCATGCTATGTGGTGCCTTGCCATGCCATGCCATGCTATGCCACAACATACTATGCCATGCCATGCCATCCCATGCCATGTGACAAAACCCTGTTTTGTCACTCCATATCCCTCTGTCCCCACACCCCACCGCACCCACCCCACCCCACCACACCACACCACACCACACCACACCCCACCGCATCACACCCCACCCCACCACTCTGCAGTGACCACGCAGATGGTGCATCAAGTGGAATCAGCCATCTTCGACCTCTTCGCTTCCTTTGATGCCACAGGTGGTTACCCCTTGTCATGTGTTACCAGTCCACTATATGTCAGGTGGTTACCACTAGTACGTCTCGTCAGGGGTGGTCAGCACTACTCGTCATGTGATTATTCCCACGCCGTTACGCATCACATGGTTACCACCACGTGTCAGGTGGTTACCAGCACTATGTCTCAGCTCAGGTGATCAGATCAGGTGTCTATTGGTGCTTATGGCACGCGACAGCTGTTTGTTTGTGCATATGCCAAGGTAGTAGGTTGTGTGAAAATCACTTTCGAGAATTCTCAAAAGTGATTTCCATATGGCAGCTGTTTGTGCAGATGCCAAGGTAGTAGGTTGTGGTGTGATGTGTACAGTTTTGAGACGTCTCAAAGCTGTCTGTTTGTGCAGATGCCAAGGTAGTAGGTTGTGTTGTCATGTATACACCCACACGCACCTGCTCCCACCCCTCTCCATTCTTTCATTCCACGAAACTCCCGTCAGAAGAGCAGCTGGAATTGCTGGTGCTGAAGAGGTCGAAGATGGCTGTTTCCACCCACTACGCCTCGGCCACACACAGACAGCTGTTCCGGCTCCTCTATTCTCCATGCTCCCTCCCTAGCGAGAATAGCCCTGCGTGTAGAAAAAGTACCGTGTGACATTATACCGAGTTGACTTTTCGACTCAAAGGTCAACACAGAAGAGCAGCTGGACTTCCCTGTGCTGAAGAGGTCGAAGATGGCTCGGCTATACACCCACACGCACCTGATTCCACCCACTACTACACCTTGGCCAGAGTCAGACACAGCTGTTCTGTTCCACCTCCTCTGTTCTCCATGCTCCCTCCCTCCCTCTAGCCTACCTTGCTGTTCCTTTCCCCATCCCCTCCCTCCTTCCCTCCCACATTCCCATTCGCCCTTCAGAGGAGCAACTGGTTTTCCCGGTGCTCTACGCGCGTCCGCCAGGCACGGCTGGGCCAGCTCCTCTTGTTCTCTCGCCGGCTTTCTCCCACCTAACATACGCTTCTTTCCCCACTCCCTCATTCACTCCCCCACTCACCCTTCAGAGGAGCAGCTGGACTTCCCTGTACTCTACGCCTCAGCCAGGCACGGCTGGGCCAGCTCCTCTTGTGCGCTCGCTGGCTCCCTCCCACCTAACATACGGTTCTTTCCCCACTCCCTCACACCCTCCCCACTCACCCTTCAGAGGAGCAGCTTGACTTCCCTGTACTCTACGCCTCAGCCAGGCATGGCTGGGCCAGCTCCTCTTGGCCCCCGCCCCAGCTCCTCTTGGCCCCCGCTGCTTTGTGACATCTGTCACAGGCAGGGAAGCTTATGTTTTTCCTAATCTCTCCCTGCCATCCTCACTCACCCATCAGAGGAGCAGCTGGACTTCCCGGTGCTCTACGCGTCGGCCAGGCATGGCTGGGCCAGCTCCTCCTGTCCGCTCGCTGGCTCCCTCCCACCCAACATACGGTTCTTTCCCCACTCCCTCACACCCTCCCCATTCACTCGTCAGAGGAGCAGCTGGACTTCCCTGTACTCTACGCCTCGGCCAGGCATGGCTGGGCCAGCTCCTCGTGGCCCCCGCCCCAGCTCACGGCAGCAGGGGCTGCAGCGGCAGCAGAAGCAGCAGCGGTGAAGGGAGAGAGTGGCGTGGTGCCGATTCTAGAGGCCATTCTTGATAGGGTGCCGCCGCCTGTGGTGGACCCAACAGTGCCCTTCCAAATGCTGGTAGGCTGTGCATCCATCAGGTATGCTCACCTCTTTAGCAGCAGCAGCAGCGAAGGGAGAGAGTGGCGTGGTGCCGATTCTAGAGGCCATTCTTGATAGGGTGCCGCCGCCTGTGGTGGACCCAACAGTGCCCTTCCAAATGCTGGTAGGCTGTGCATCCATCAGGTATGCTCACCTCTTTAGCAGCAGCAGCGAAGGGAGAGAGTGGCGTGGTGCCGATTCTAGAGGCCATTCTTGATAGGGTGCCGCCGCCTGTGGTGGACCCAACAGTGCCCTTCCAAATGCTGGTAGGCTGTGCATCCATCAGGTATGCTCACCTCTTTAGCAGCAGCAGCAGCGAAGGGAGAGAGTGGCGTGGTGCCGATTCTAGAGGCCATTCTTGATAGGGTGCCGCCGCCTGTGGTGGACCCAACAGTGCCCTTCCAAATGCTGGTAGGCTGTGCATCCATCAGGTATGCTCACCTCTTTAGCAGCAGCAGCAGCGAAGGGAGAGAGTGGCGTGGTGCCGATTCTAGAGGCCATTCTTGATAGGGTGCCGCCGCCTGTGGTGGACCCAACAGTGCCCTTCCAAATGCTGGTAGGCTGTGCATCCATCAGGTATGCTCACCTCTTTAGCAGCAGCAGCAGCGAAGGGAGAGAGTGGCGTGGTGCCGATTCTAGAGGCCATTCTTGATAGGGTGCCGCCGCCTGTGGTGGACCCAACAGTGCCCTTCCAAATGCTGGTAGGCTGTGCATCCATCAGGTATGCTCACCTCTTTAGCAGCAGCAGCAGCGAAGGGAGAGAGTGGCGTGGTGCCGATTCTAGAGGCCATTCTTGATAGGGTGCCGCCGCCTGTGGTGGACCCAACAGTGCCCTTCCAAATGCTGGTAGGCGTGATGAGGCTCTTCTGTCCGGTGTTGAGGCGCCTCAAAACGAAACAGTGCCCTTCCAGATGCTGGTAGGTAGGCAGGCTCTTCTGACCCGTGGCGTGGCAATGCGTGTAAGCCACACCGCATCATGGTGGGTGGCTTCTGAGTCGACTCAAAGGCCTCTTTGCTCGAATTCTCCTTTATCTTCTTGTGTTGTGTCCTCGTGTCCCCTCCCCTCCAAGGTGACTTTTGAGTCGACTCAAAAGTCATCATGGTGGCTTCTGAGTCGACTCGAAGGCCTCTTTGCTCGAATTCTCCTTTATCTTCTTGTGTTGTGTCCTCGTGTCGTGTCCCCTCCATGCGCGTGGAAAGGTAGTTTCGACCCAGATCCAGCAGATCTAACTCGTTCTAATCTCCTCGTGTCCCCTCCCTCCATGCGCGAGGTGTCACTGATCGACAGGGACGGGACCCATTTCCACGTCACACACCTTCTCACCCCTGCTTCATCTTCTTGTGCCCTCGTGCCCTGCCTGTGCGCTTGTGGTTGCCAGGTGTCACTGATCGACAGGGACCCGTTTCTTGGCCGCCTGCTGATTGGTCGGATAGCGTCGGGTTCGGTGCGCGTGGGAGACAGGGTGCGAGCACTGATGCGGGACAATGAAGGGGAGGCGGTTACTCTAGAGGAGAGCAAGGTGCTATGGAGAGGAAAGAGGGGGGCACATATGGCAGGTGTGGTGAGCGCGTGGGCAACAGGGTGGGGCACTGATGATGGGGGGCAGCGAACGGGAGGGGCCACGTTGGAAGAGAGCAAGGCGGGCGGGTTGGGAAAAAGGAAAAGCGGGGCAGAAAGTCATTGCTGACGTGAGAGTGCACCAGGTGCATTGTGTGGTTTTTTGGAGTTCTAAAAACTTCTCAAAAACCAGCTCAAAAGGGAAAGGGCGGGCAGGAATTCATTGTTGACGTGAGAATCCATCGGGTGCATTGCGTGGTTTTTTAGTTATACAAAAAAAAAACAAAAACAAAAACAAAAACAAAAACTAAAAATCCAGCATGAAATCCAAAAGGGGGCAGGAAGGAAGTCACTGTTGACGTGAGAATGCACCGGGTGCAGTGTGTGGCCGCTGATGCGATGCAAACTGACTAGATTACCGAATGCAAATTTTTCTCTGTAAAGATCCTTTAGATTCCGTTTCTTCTTCTTCTTTTTTTCTAGTTCGTTAGAGCGGTCTATTTCCATTCCACCAACCCAAATTCGCTATGATATCAGGTGGTGAAGCTGGTGAAGCGGAGGGGAGTTAAGTCGGAGGATATGAGTGAGGCGGGAGCAGGGGACATCGTGGCAGTGGCAGGGATGACACACGCCCACGTCTCACACACTCTCGCTGACCTCTCGGTGCGTATTTGAGTAGAGGTTGGAGGGGAGTGAAGTCGGAGGATATGAGTGACGCCGCAGCGGGTGACATCGTGGCAGTGGCAGGGATGACACACGCACACGTCTCACACACTCTCGCTGACCTCTCGGTATGGCCTTGTTTAAAAAAATAAGGCGTGCGTAGGTGATAGAGGTGGTGGCAGGGATGGCCCACGCTCACGTCTCACACACGCTTGCAGACCTTTCGGTACGCCCCGCCACTTAATCGCTGAGTCTGCTCTGAGGTGCCAGATTACGTTTTCTATAGGCGATAGCGACAGTTGTTTCCATGGATGATACATGCACACGTCTCTCTCTCTCTCGCTCTCTCTCACACATATCTCAGTATGCCTTCCTCCCTTCTCTCACACGTCCCTTCCCTTCCTCCCTTCGCTGGCTATAGCTTCACCTTGCCTTTTCCGATCGTCCGTTTGTCATGGCTTCGTCTCTCTCTCCATCCCTCTACCTTCACTGTCAAACAACATCCCGTCACGCTTGTGTTCCCCTCTCCCCTCTTCACTTCTCCTTGCCTTTTCCGATCGTCCGTTTGTCATGGCTTCGTCTCTCTCTCCATCCCTCTACCTTCACTGTCAAACAACATCCCGTCACACTTGTGTTCCCCTCTCCCCTCTTCACTTCTCCTTGCCGCCCCTATCAATCCCTCCCGTTCCGCCAGGTCTCAAAACCCCTCCCAGTTGCGGCTATTGACCCTCCCACCATCGCCATGACCTTCAGCGTCAACGACTCTCCTATGGCCGGGAGACACGGCACCCAGGTGAGCTCTCAGGTTTCCAGGTGTATTCTCAGGTGAGGTCTCTCCCACCATCGCCATGACCTTCAGCGTCAATGCCTCTCCTCTAGCCGGCAGACATGGCACTCAGGTGAGGTCTCAGGTACTCAAATGCAATCTCAGGTGAGGTCTCAGGTACTCAAATGCAATCTCAGGTGAGGTCTCAGGTACTCAAATGCAATCTCAGGTGAGGTCTCAGGTACTCAAATGCAATCTCAGGTGAGGTCCCACCCACCATCGCCACGGCCTTCAGCGTAAAAAATTCGCCTCTAGCGGGCAGACACAGCATCCAGGTGGGCTCTCAGGTGGCCACACGTGATCTCAGGTGCTCCACAGGTGTATCCTCAGGTGATCTCGCTGGGTCCAAGGCCAGCAGCCTCCCTCTCACTGTTCCCTTGCTTCCCCATCACGTGCACATATGACTGGCACAAAGATAGGAGCACGGCTCAAGGCAGAGGTCGCAACCTATGTGTCTCTCTCTGGGGCCGGAGGCAGGTTAGGATGTCTCTGGCGCGTGGCTCAGGGCAGGCAGAGAGGTAGCAACCAGCGTGCCTCTGGGGCTGGAGCCTGGTCCCACCTGTGCCCAGGGGAATATAGTGTCTCGCCCTGCCTGCCCCCGACCTGACTTTTGAGTCGACTCAAAAGTCGGCTAGGCTGGTCCCACCTGTGCTGTGCCCAGGGGAATATAGTGACTCGCCCTGCCTGCCCCCGACCTGACTTTTGAGTCGACTCAAAAGTCGGCTAGGCTGGTCCCACCTGTGCTGTGCCCAGGGGAATATAGTGTCTCGCCCTGCCTGCCTGCGACCACTTGAACCACTTTCCATCCCTCCCAGCATTCACAGATGACCGGCCCAAATATCGGGGGGACGGGGCTAAGGGCAAAGGTGGCAAGCAACCAATGTATCGCTGGGGTGGGGCCGGAGGCAGGTCCCTCTGCACACGCCTTAGTGCTGCCACCACACCACGTGCCCTCACCCTCCCTCTCCCTATTCGCTTGCTCTCCCATCTCCAGATGACGGGGCCGAAGATCGGTGCACGGCTCAAGGCAGAGGTGGCCACCAACGTGTCTCTGGGGCTGGAGGCGGGTCCCTCTGCGGATGCCTTCAAGGTGCTGGCCAGGGGCGAGATGCAGCTGGGTGAGTGGCTGGGGGCGACAGACAGAACATCACGTCTCGAATGGGAAGTATGGTGTCTCTGGGACTAGAGGCGGGTCCCTCTGCGGATGCCTTCAAGGTGCTGGCCAGGGGCGAGATGCAGCTGGGTGAGTGGCTGGGGGCGACAGACAGAACATCACGTCTCGAATGGGAAGTATGGTGTCTCTGGGACTAGAGGCGGGTCCCTCTGCGGACGCCTTCAAGGTGCTGGCCAGGGGCGAGATGCAGCTGGGTGAGTGGCTGGGGGCGACAGACAGAACATCACGTCTCGAATGGGAAGTATGGTGTCTCTGGGACTAGAGGCGGGTCCCTCTGCGGATGCCTTCAAGGTGCTGGCCAGGGGCGAGATGCAGCTGGGTGAGTGGCTGGGGGCGACAGACAGAACATCACGTCTCGAATGGGAAGTATGGTGTCTCTGGGACTAGAGGCGGGTCCCTCTGCGGATGCCTTCAAGGTGCTGGCGAGAGGCGAGATGCAGCTGGGTGAGTGGTCACACAGTTAAGCTTCTGGTTTTCAGTTTTAGGCTTCAGGTGTGCTTTCTGGGGCTAGAGGCCGGTCCGTCTGCGGATGCCTTCAAGGTGCTGGCGAGAGGCGAAATGCAGCTGGGTGAGTGGCTGGGGGTTGAAGGGATTGGGTATCTTGGGCATGAGGTATGGGGAAGAGGGTATAGGGCTCATGTGTCTCGGGTATGGTTCGGTGTTTCTGAAGCTGGAGGCAGCTCCCTCTGCTGACGCCTTCAAAGTGCTGGCAAGGGGCGAAATGCAGCTGGTTGAGTGGCTGGGGGTTCAAGGCTTTTCGGATACATGTCTATGGCTCACATCACATCACATCACATCACATCACATCACATCACATCACATCACATCACATCACATCACATCACATCACATCACATCACATAACATCACATCGGGTCGAGTCGAGGTTCACATCACATCACATGCATGATGCATCTCTGGGGCTGGAGGGGGGTCCCTCTGTGGGTGCATTCAAAGCGCTGGTGAGGCAGGAGGAGAAATGCGGCTGGGTGAAGGGCGGTTGAGTCCGGTTGTCTTGGCACGGAGGTTTTCAGCTGAGGTGACTTGGAGTCTCAACCCTAAAAAGCAGCTCCTTACTTCCCCCTCAACTGCTCTTGCCCGCCCACAAGCAGGCCTCTGTCCCTCATTCGTTTACCTCCTCTCCGCCTCCTGTCTCTTTCCCCACTGCGCTCTGCATGTCACAAAATCAGGTGTGCTTATAGAGAGTATGCGCAGGGAGGGATTTGAGCTCTCCATATCGCCACCATCCGTGCTGTGAGTGGGCTATGATGTCGTGCGAAAGACGGGTTTGCTGTGAGTAGATGGAGGGGAGATGTCATTCGGTTTTCGGTTTGGTTACATCTTGTTTTCTTGACTCCTCTCCACTCCAGCTACTTGTTTACTTGGAGCTAGCAGTCCGTTCCATCGTTTTTTTTTTCTCTCTTCTTTTCCATTTTCTTCTCTGCCTCAAGGTTCGCCTTACGTCTTATCGCCTTCCGTCTTATCGCCTTACGTCTTATCGCCTTCCGTCTTATCGCCTTCCGTCTTATCGCCTTCCGTCTTATCGCCTTCCGTCTTCCCCCCCTTCCCCTCTGGCACGCTGCTCTATCTCTCCCATCCCCTGCCCGCCCTCCCTCTCCAACCCCACCGTCCCAAACAACCCTTTTTTCTTTGCAGGTACCGAGAAGAGAAGGGGAAGAAGCTGGAGCCGATTGAAGAGCTCATGGTGGAGGTGAGTGGTGATGATGGGTGGGGTGCGGTAAGATTTGGTCGGGTGTGGTGGTGTATGGTGTGGTTTGGTGTAGTGAAGCATAGAAGTTGAGCACCAGTGCAGGGGCCTTCCTCCGATTCCAGCTCATCAAAGTCTCTGTTTGTGTGTGTGCGGCGTGCCGTTGTGCCCGCCTGTGCTCACCGTCTCTTGTGACTGACGGTGTGTGTGTGTGTGTGCCCCTACACCCCCACACAGGTGGGCGAGGAGTATGCAGGAGCAGTCATCGACGCCATCTCTTGCTAGCTCTGTCCCTATCTTCACCTGTGTTTATGATGTGACTGGCTCTGGCTGTATGTCTGCCGCCCCTACACCCCGACACAGGTGGACGAGGAGTTCGCAGGGGCAGTCATCGACGCGATCTCTCTCAGGAAAGGAGAGCTCCTGGACATGATCACAGAATTCTCATTCTCCGCCTCTTGTGGTGTTATGTGGTGTTATGTGGCGTTGAACGGTGTTGTGTGGTGTTGTGTGGTGTTGTGTGGTGTTGTGTGGTTCGTCTGCACCTATGCCCCCAAACACAGGTGGACGAGGAGTTTTCAGGGGCAGTCATCGATGCGATCTCTCTCAGAAAAGGAGAGCTCCTGGACATGATCACAGAATCCTCCGCCTCCTCCTCCGATTCCAGCTCATCTGTTGCTGACTCAGCAGCATCTGCCACGTCATCACCCTCACCGTCCACGTCATCGCCCTCATCCGCCAGCTCAGCATCCTCTTCTCTCTCACGTACACGTCTTCTCTTCACCTGCCCTTCCAGGTGAGACAAACAAGTTTGCCTCTGATCCGGTTTACTTGTCAATTATTGTTCTTGCTGAGACGTAATTAGCCATCAACAATAGACTCTTCAACCCTATGCAATTCAACCTTAATTCCTTGCTGTAAACGCCTTTCACCCGTGCACGCATGTGTGCAGGGGGCTACTGGGAGTGAGAGGTGTTCTCAACACGGCCACCAGGGGCATAATAACCCCAAAGTATAAGCCTTAAACCCTCACTCCACCCATCCCTACGTGCATGTGTGCAGGGGCCTACTGGGAGTGAGAGGTGTTCTCAACACGGCCACCAGGGGCATAATAACCCCAAAGTATAAGCCTTAAACCCTCACTCCACCCATCCCTACGTGCATGTGTGCAGGGGCCTACTGGGAGTGAGAGGTGTTCTCAACACGGCCACCAGAGGCACGGCAGTGCTGCACCGGTCATTCCTGCGTGAGTTTCACAACTATACTCTCACGGCCACCCCTCATCACCTCTCCACCGCCCATCACACCTCTCCACCGCCCATCACTCCTCAACATGGCAGTGCTGCACGGGTCATTCCTGCGTGAGTGTTCTGCCAGGGAGGGCCAAAGTCTCTGGTGGCCGTGTGGGCCAAAGTCGCCTCTCTCAATCCCTCATGATTGAGAGGCGTGCTCAACACGGCCACCCCAGCCATGTTAGAATATAGCATAATGTATGTTTATATTTGTGCATGTGTTACACCCTAAAGTGGGTGTACACTTTGGGTCAAGGCGACCCAACCAATTTTGGTTGGGCGCCCCCAAACCCAACTCGACCGCAATTGACGGGGGGGGGCCAATAATGGTCCCCTCCAACGATTGTTGGTTACCCCAGCAATTGTTGGTCGACCCAATCTGATTGGTCCACCAATAAATGCTGAGGGTACCCCACTTCGTTCCCAAAACTTCTCATCTCCTATATGTACCGACACTCTTTCTAATCAAGACAATACTTGAGATTCTTTCATGGTATTCAGAGCCAATTGGCAAACGCCCCTCTCGACCTCTTTCTCTCAAGTTTTTTTTTTTCCTCCCCGCTCGTCAGGACCCTTCCGTCCTGCCCATGCAACTTGTTGCGTGGGTTTGACTTGGTTGAAGTTCAATCTTCCGTAAAGTACAACCAGTCACCACCTCCCTCCAGCTCCTACTCTATCTCTCGTAAGGCGAATTTCTCGCCTCAGCTCCTGCCGCCGCATTTACGTTCTCAGCTGCCGGCGTCTCAATCGCCGCGACCTATCCGCCGTCGCCACTACTCTCGCACCGCTTTTCTTCCTTGCGGGGCATTTCGCCGCCGCCGCCGCTGCTTCACTCGCCGCGGGGCATTTCGCCGCCGCCGCCACTGTTCCCACTCGCCGCGGGGCATTTCGCCGCCGCCGCCACTGCTCCCACTCGCCGCGGGGCATTTCGCCGGCGCCGCCACTGCTCCCACTCGCCGCGGGGCATTTCGCCTCCGCCGCCACTACTCCACTCGCCGCGGGGCATTTCGCCGCCGCCGCCACTGCTCCCACTCGCCGCGGGGCATTTCGCCGCCGCCGCCTCTGCTCCCACTCGCCGCGGGGCATTTCGCCGCCGCCGCCACTGCTCCCACTCGCCGCGGGGCATTTCGCCTCCGCCGCCACTGCTCCCACTCGCCGCGGGGCATTTCGCCTCCGCCGCCACTACTCCACTCGCCGCGGGGCATTTCGCCGCCGCCGCCACTGCTCCCACTCGCCGCGGGGCATTTCGCCGCCGCCGCCACTGCTCCCACTCGCCGCGGGGCATTTCGCCTCCGCCGCCTCTACTCACTCGCTGCGGGCAATTTGCCGCCGCCACTGCCTCTCCTCGCTGCAAGACACTTCGCCGCGGCTGCTCCTACTCTCCCTCGCCGCCAGGCACTTAGCTACTGCCTCATCTCTTCCTCCCCGCCGCTCCCTCGACCCTTCCCCCCCCCCCCCATTGCTTCCGCCCACCGTTTCCTCTCCCGCTGCCTCTCTCATACTATCTCTGCTCTCCGCCTCTCCTGCCACGCTACTGCTCCCAATCCTCTCCCACGTGCTGCTACTAACCCCCCTCCTCCTCTCCCTCAGCTTCTAACCTGCCTCGCTTTCGCTCGCTACTAACATTTTTTCTCCCCTCACATCGCACTAACTTACTGCTATGGCTGCTCCTTCTCTTCCTCAGAATTTCAACACTCTCTCCATTGATCGGCTCGAGCTCGCTCCCGATCAGAGCGCTATCAACTGGTACTCCTACACAGGGAGCATGCGCCGCCTCCTCGGCGTCATCCACATCCCCAACACCTCCTCCACCCTCCTCGACCTTGTCCTCCGCCATGCTGCCGCTCTCCCGCCAACGCCCCCTATGTCCCCTGGATCGGCCCCCACTCTCCCGCCTGACCCTGGACCTGAACCTGACGAACCAGATCTGCCCGCTGCCTCCACGGATCCTGTTCGCCAAGCCGCTGATGAAGCAGCCTACGATCTCGAGCGGCGTCGGTTCCTCACGCTCCGAGCGGACCATCGTGCGGCTCGCGAGCAATACGACATGCGCCAAGCTGCCATAATAAATCACCGCACCATGGCTGACCGCTACACTCTCGCGGTCGCTGAATATACCGCTAAAGCTGCTGCTTGGAAGGAATCTGACCTTTCTGCCTCTAATATTATCCTTGGTGGTCTCCCCCCCGCTCTAATGCGAGACTTTCAGGAACAAGAGCTTCACGCACCTGCCCTTTGGGCCTCCCTTCACGCCATGTTTGAGCGCCATGACGTCAACTCCGTGGGGCTGCTCCTTGACGAATACTGGGAGACAACGCTCGCAACCTGCACTGGTGCCGTCGCCTACACCGGCCGCATGACCTCTCTCGCCAAGCGACTTAAGGCTCGCCAGTCCGAACTCCCCCAGTTCATCCAGATAGATCGCCTTCTCCGCGGTCTCAACCCGTCCTACGACATGCACGTCATTGCCTTCCGCGAAAATCAGCCGTTTGCGGATGTTGCTGCTGTCGTTCAATGGATCATTGACACCGAAACCCGCCTCCTTCGTACCAACCCGCCTTCTCTCAACACGGCTCAAGCACCCGCGCCAGAACTCAACGCCACCCAGACACGCGGTGGTGGGCGTGGTGGTGGTCGCGGTGGCGGACGTGGAGGTGGGCGTGGTGGCGGCCGTGGTGGTGGACGTGGTGGCACCTTTGGTGGACGCACTCCTTCTTGCACGGGCGGCCCTGGAGGAAGTGGACGTGGTGGTAGCGGACCTGGTCAACTCCCCCCCTGCCCCTACGTTCGCCGTCACGGCCCTCGCGCTGGGGAACCCTGCGGTCAAACCAACCACCCCATAACCACCTGCTTCGGCGTCTTGGACGATGCCTGGTTTGATCGTGGTAACCATGGTACCCCCCCCCCGCTGGTCCGCTCTTGCAAGTCGTCCCACTGTCCATGATGTTCAACATCTCCCTCTCTATCAACCCTCCCACCTTAACCTCACCACTCCCTCTCCTCAACTGCAACTCCAGCAGTTTTTGCAGCATCTTCAGTCACAGCAGTTGCAGCAGCCCCCGCAGCTGCCCCCACAGCCGCAGCCGCACCAGCAGCCACAGCAGCCGCCCTGGGGAGGTGGGGGAGGCGCAGCCGCCACAGCAGCGGCAGCGGCAGCAGCAGCAGCAGCAGCAGCAGCAACTGCCGCCTGGCAGCAGCAACCTCTTGGCTTCGGTTCTGCCGCCACCGCCGCCCATACCTCCCCAGCTGAGTCATACTCTAGCTTTCTTGGTCAGCTAGCTTCTCCCTTGCCTAGCACCACCTCCATGTATCCCTCTGTTCTTAATAACAGTGACTTCCAGTATTCTGCGTCTCCTTCCCCGCTCACCTTGGACTTTGTCCTCGATAGCGGGGCCACCGTCAGTGCCCTGAAGGACGCTGGCATTCTCAAAACACTATCTCTCCCCTCCACTGTTCATGGCGCTGATTCTAGCTTCTCGATCCCATGCACACACTCCTCTACTCTTCCGTGTCCCCTCTTTCCCTCCGGCACTATCACTGGCCTCCACATTCCCACTCTTCGTCACAACCTTATTTCTCTTCATGATCTCCAAAAAGTCGGCATTACCGCCATTTTTCCTGCCCACTTTTCCTATTGCGATCTCATTCATACCTCCACTGGCCGCCTTGTCTATCGCCTCCCAATCTGCCCCCGCACTCACCTTTACACACTACGTCTCCCTTTTCCGGCATCATGTCATCTCACCACCCGTCGCTCCACCTACCCTTCTCCCACCATTGCTCCTCCCCCTTCATCATCTCCCACTCCCTCTACCTCTCCCGACCTCTCCCTCTCTCACCCCGCCATTCTCCTCCATCACCGTCTTGGTCACCCCAACTTCACCACCCTCCGTGCCGCAATATCCTCTCGCCTCCTTCATGGGCTCCCCTCTGCCCTTCCTCCCCTACCCACCTCACCAGCTCCTCCTTGTCCCACTTGCATTCATGGCAAACTCAAACAAAAACCCCATCACAGCCATCCCTCATTTGCTACTGCTCCCCTAGATCTCGTCCACATGGACCTCTGGGGTCCCTCCCCCTCCCCTTCCCGCCAGGGCCACCGCTTTATGCTCGTCCTCGTAGACGACCATAGCCGCTACTCCTCTGTGTTTCTACTCCACACGAAAGCTGAAGCAGCCGCTGTCATCATCGCCTGGGCCGAACAAGCGCGCGCGCACTTCGGTCGACCCATCCGTCGCCTTCACTCTGACGGTGGCGGGGAGTTTCTCAACCATACCATTGCCTCCTACTGCAAAGCACATGGCACTCAACAGACGTCCACTCTCCCTCATTCTCCGCAACAAAACGGTGTAGTTGAAAGTCGCATCCGTGAGATCACCAAAACTGCCCGCTGTCTCCTCACCCATGCATCTACCCCTCCCTCCCTTTGGGGCTATGCTCTCACTCATGCCGCCCTTCTCACCAACCTCTACCCTCACCCCCACCATCCCAACCTCACTCCCACTGAGCTTTGGTGCAACTCCAAACCTGATGCCTCCGTCCTTCGCGTCTGGGGCTGCAAATCCTTTGTTCTCATTCCTCCCGCAGACCGTTCCCGCAAAGCAGGAAAACTTGCCTCCAAAGCATTGGAGTGCGTCTACCTCGGCCACAATCGTGGCTCTCCTGGGTACCTCTTCCTTCATCCTCCCTCCGGACGCCTCATTCGCAGCCGCGATGTCGTCTTCGATGAAACCATCCCCTACTACTCCTCTCCTCCTCCCTCCGACCCTCTCCCCCCACCCTCCCGCCCACTCACCTGGGCGGATGCCCTTCTTCCTCCTCTCCTCCCATCTGCTCCACTCCTCCCAACTACTCCACTCTCACCTCCACCTTCCTCGGCTGATATCTATGATCCTGCTGCCTCACCTGCCCTTTCCACCGCTCCCCCTCCTCCCTCTCCCCCTCCTCCCTCCCCTCCCACCCACCTCCCTCCAGCTTCTCCTCCTCCATCCTCGCCCGCCGCACCTCCTGCATCCTCCCCACGTCCTCGCACTTCTCTCACCTCACGCTCTCCCTTCCTCCTCCCACGCATGCACACTCGCTCCCTTGACCCCATTCTTGGTCAACCACCTCTCATTCATGAAGACTCCCATGAGGAGTTTTGTGCCATTCACACTCACGTTCCTTCCCTTAACCCTGTGTACCTTGCCCTTTTGGGCGCGGTTGTACTTGGCACTCCCTCCTCACCTCTCATCTTCACGCCTACCACATTCCAGGAGGCAATCACGTGCCCTGCCGCTGACAAATGGCTGGAGGCCATTCGCAAGGAGTGCGACGCCTTCATTCGCAATGATTCCTTCGTCGATGTCAAGCCGCCTCCAGATGCCAACATTGTCGCTGGCAAGTGGGTCTTCCGGGTGAAGCAGCTTCCGGGGGAGGAGCCCGTCTACAAAGCCCGTTACTGCGCCAAGGGCTTCACACAGACCTATGCCAAAGACTTTTGGGAAACCTTCTCACCTACCGCAAAATTCGGGACCCTTCGCACGCTTCTCGACTTTGGCTCCCGCAACGGCATGGAGATCTCATCAATGGATGTCTCTAACGCTTTTCTTCAGGGGAACCTCCACGAACAAATCTTCCTCGACCGCCCAGATGGCTTCCATGAAGCCTTCCCACCAGACACTGTCTGGGAACTACGCCGTCCAGTCTACGGCCTGAAGCAGGCTCCTCGGAAATGGCATGCTAAGCTGGCATCTACACTCTGTGCTCTCGGATTTCAACCATCTCACTCTGACGCCAGTCTCTTCATTCGGACCCGTCCCAGCCGCTTCTTCGTCCTAGTCTATGTTGACGACATGGTGCTCCTCGCCGACACCTCCGCCGACATGACCGACGTTAAGGAAGAACTACAAGCTCGTCTCCAGTGCAAGGACCTTGGCGAATTACGCCACTACTTGGGCATGGAGATCACACGCGATCGAGCTGCCCGCACCATCACCTTATCTCAATCTCACTATCTTCAGCAGGTGTTGGAGCGGTTCGACATGGCTCTCGCCAACCCAGTGGCCACTCCCCTTCCATTCGGCCATGGGCTTGCTCCACCCACCTCCCCCTCCGCCTCCACTCAGCCCTATGCGGAACTGGTTGGCTCCATCATGTATGCCATGATGGGGACCCGTCCCGACCTCGCCTACCCCATCAGCGTCCTGGCGCGTTTCGTCGGTACCGGTCGTCACACCTCCGTGCATTGGAGAGCCGCCAAACGAGTCCTACGCTACCTCCGTGGCACTCAGGACCATGTTCTCACCCTTGGTGGTGCCTCTCCCCCGCTCCTCACCGGCTTCAGTGACTCGTCTTGGGCAGACTCTCAGCCGGATCGCCGCTCTTCCCAAGGATATGGCTTCACGCTCGGTAGCGGCTTGGTCAGCTGGCGCTCCACCCGCTCCTCCGCCATCGCCCTCTCATCTTGTGAAGCCGAACTCTATGCTGGTACCATGGCTGCGCAGGAAGGACGCTGGCTTTCCTTCTTGCTAGCCGAGCTTGGGGCCCCCCAGCCATGCCCCACGCTCTGGTGCGACAACGCCAGCACGATCCACCTCACCAGGAATCCGGTCTTCCACGGGCGCTCCAAACACATCGAACTACGCTACTTCTACATTCGCGATCTTGTCCAGCAAGGCCATCTTGCCGTCCGAAAAATTGCCGCCGAAGCCAACCTCGCTGACATCTTCACCAAAGCTCTTCCGAAGCTAGCCCACCGGGCCTTCCTTCGCCTTCTTGGCCTCTCCCCGGCTTCATGATTCCGGGGTTGTGCACACTTATAAACCTCTTATGCTACGGGGTTGTGTTAGAATATAGCATAATGTATGTTTATATTTGTGCATGTGTTACACCCTAAAGTGGGTGTACACTTTGGGTCAAGGCGACCCAACCAATTTTGGTTGGGCGCCCCCAAACCCAACTCGACCGCAATTGACGGGGGGGGGCCAATAATGGTCCCCTCCAACGATTGTTGGTTACCCCAGCAATTGTTGGTCGACCCAATCTGATTGGTCCACCAATAAATGCTGAGGGTACCCCACTTCGTTCCCAAAACTTCTCATCTCCTATATGTACCGACACTCTTTCTAATCAAGACAACACTTGAGATTCTTTCAAGCCACACCTCTCCACCGCTCATCACACCTTAAATCGATAGTGGCCATTCCTCACAACCTTTGAGGCGCCTCAGTAGTTCAGCCAACTCCTCACATACACCATCCCATCTCCCTTACCCCCGTTTTCCCGGCCAGGTTACGAGCCTTGGAGGGGTCAGCTGGAGCGAGGGCGCAAGGGAGTGATTGTATCGATGGCCACAGGTACAGTCACAGTCACACGGTTGAAGTGACAAGTGTCGTGTCATGGTTGGTCGATAGCACTGGTAAACGCATACTCATAGTCACAGCAGCTTCTCTCACTGTCACAGCCTGTACTGTCACTAAGAAGAGTATTCTCTCACTGTCACAGCCTGTACTGTCACTAAGAAGAGTGTTCTCTCACTGTCACAGCCTGTACTGTCACTAAGAAGAGTGTTCTCTCACTGTCACAGCCTGTACTGTCACTAAGAAGAGTATTCTCTCACTGTCACAGCCTGTACTGTCACTAAGAAGAGTATTCTCTCACTGTTACAGCCTGTACTGTCACTAAGAAGAGTATTCTCTCACTGTCACAGCCTGTACTGTCACTAAGAAGAGTGTTCTCTCACTGTCACAGCCTGTACTGTCACTAAGAAGAGTATTCTCTCACTGTCACAGCCTGTACTGTCACTAAGAAGAGTATTCTCTCACTGTCACAGCTGCTGCTGCTGTCACCACCATTAACAATGTTGCCGGTGCCACAAAATTTGGTACTTGCTGTTGTTCTGCTTCCCTATCACCAATCTTTTCTGATATATCTTTTCAATAAAGTCACACTTCTTCAGTGTATTTCATTTTTGTTTACATATTACTGCTTTCTCCTGATCCCATATTGGTCGTAATGATTGCAGGTACCATCACAGCCCATGCTCTCTCCTCTCTCGAAGCTCGAGGCACTCTATTTGTCAGCCCTGGAGACGAGGTGAGGGGTGGGGTGCGATGCGGTGCAGTGCGGTTGAGTGTGGATATAGTGTGGTGTGGTAGATAGAGAATGGTTTGTGGCATAACCACTTCTCCCCCCTTTCGCCCCTTCTCTTCCTCCTCTTCCTCTCGTCCCCTCCCCCGTGCGAATTCTCTCTCTTTGCCCCATCCTTAAGACGTATGATGGGCATATGATAGGAGAGAACGTCAAGGGCGATGACATGGAGGTGAGGGGGAGAGGAGGTGGAGGGGGGGGCAAATGGTGTATCTCTCCCCGTCCCTTCTCTTCCCTACCCTATCCTTCTCAACCCCCCCTCCTTCAGACGTATGATGGGCATATGATAGGAGAGAACGTCAAGGGCGATGACATGGAGGTGAGGGGGAGGAGGAAGGGAACCATCGGGGAATGAGTTGAGTCAAAGCCTCTCCTTGCCCCCTCTCTTCCCTCCCTTTCTTCCATTCCGCCCTCCCTGTCCCCTCCTTCAGACATACGACGGTCATATCATTGGAGAGAACGCCAGGGACGATGATATGGAGGTGAGGGGGAGAGGAGGGGTTGACAAGAAGAAGCGGGGGGTGAGGCGAAAAAAGGGGTGAGGGGGAGAAGCGGGTGAGGGGAAGGAGGTGATTGGGAGGTCGGATGTCAGTGCTGTTGGGTGCTTTTGAGACGTCTCAAGAGAAGCGGGTGAGGGGAAGGAGGAGGTGGGTGGGAGGTCGGATGTCAGTGCTGTTGGGTGTTGAAGAACGGGGTTCAGGGTTGTGAGGCACCTTAACATTCTGTTTCATCTTGTGACATGCACTAAAGGGGGCTAAAATATTCTGTGCTGCCATCCCTTCTCTATGTTCTCCCTTTCCCAGGTGAACCCTGTACGCACTAAGGAGCTCACCAACATAAGAGCAGCGTCCAAAGATGAAAACATTCGCCTCACGCCTCCAAGACAGGTCAGCGCTCTCATCTGATACCAGTGTTACATCGGTTATCCCTCTGTACCGCTCTAAAGTCCTCTTCACGCTGCTGTACCCCACTGAAAACCACAGATGAGTCTGCAAGTAAGCCATGTTGGTGACTCCCACTGCCTTTCACCCCTGTGCATTCCTGTCCCACTTCATACACCCAAGTATCCCTCTGTACCCCTCAACACACCACAGATGAGTCTGGAAGAAGCCATGGGGTATGTGCAAACGGGTGAGCTGGTGGAGGTGACTTCTGCTGCCATCCGCCCTTGTGCATTCACATATCTACCGCTTTACCTCTTCTGTACCCCTCCACACCCCTGTACCCCTCTGCAAACCACGGATGAGTCTGGAGGAAGCCATGGGGTATGTGGAGGCGGGTGAAGTGGTGGAGGTGACACCTGCTGCCATTCACCCTTATGCACTCATGTACACACCTCTATACCCCTCTGTACCTCTCTACACACCACAGATGAGTCTGGAGGAGGCCATGGGGTATGTGCAGACAGGAGAGCTGGTGGAGGTGACTCCTGCTGCCATACACCCCTATGCATTCACATATCCCTCTTCTGTCCATGTCCCTGTACCCCTCCACACGCCTGGAAACCCCTTCACAAACCGCAGATGAGTTTGGAAGAAGCCATGGGGTATGTGCAGACGGGTGAGCTGGTGGAGGTGACTTCTGCTGCCATCCGCCCTTGTGCATTCACATATCTACCGCTTTACCTCTTCTGTACCCCTCCACACCCCTGTACCCCTCTGCAAACCATGGATGAGCCCGGAAGAAGCCATGGGTTATGTGGAGGCGGGTGAAGTGGTGGAGGTGACACCTGCTGCCATTCACCCTTATGCACTCATATACACACCTCTGTACCCCTCTGTACCCCTCTGTACCACTCTATACACCACAGATGAGTCTGGAAGAGGCCATGGGGTGTGTGCAAAAGGGCGAGCTTGTGGAAGTGACTCCTGCTGCCATTCAACCCCTTTGCATCTCTGTACACACCTCCATACCCCTCTGTACGCCTCTGTTCACTACAGATGAGTCTGGAAGAGGCCATGGGGTATGTTCAAACGGGTGAGCTGGTGGAGGTGACTCCTGCTGCCATTCGCCTTCGAAAGAAAGAGCTGAGCTCGTCCAAGCGCAAGTCTTCCAGGCGCAACCAGAAGGAATGATTTGATATGATGCATGTGCGTTGTGTACGCGATACATGGGGTAACAGCAGTAGATAGGATATCAGTTGTCGCTGAGCTGGGCTCATCCAAACAAAATACCTCCAGGCGCAACCAGAAGGAGTGGCGTATGTCATGTGGGTGCCTTGTATAACACACATGTTACGATGTGGCGGGCGGGGGCTGGCTGGCTGCCAGCTGGTTATTTCGACCGGCTGGTTAAGCCGATCTCTCTTTGCAAGAGAAGCGCTGAGCTCGCCCGAAATGGAAGACTGGAAGACATCCAGGTGGATCTGGTAGGAGTGGTGTGCTGTGCGTAACACGGTATGAGGTTCATTGTACGGTACAGAGAGTATGTTATAAGTGCCTTTACGTATCTCACATCGCGCATTGGAGAATTGGCATGATATGAGTACCATTTGTTTGTTGCCTCTACCTGTGCCTTGAGGAGCACTATTGATCCGCCCTGTGGCTTCTATATGCATGGAGGAGATTGATAAAGCAAGACTGTGAGTTAACAGTACAGGAGGAGACGGCAGCAGAAATCCTGGGACGTTTATTCCAAAAACAGTAGAGGGAAAAGACACATACGGTACACTTCCGGCTGTCTAATCAGAACAAAAGCACTCTCCCTGCCCAGCAAGCGGGATCGTTGCCCTACCCTAAACCACTAACTGCGGTATGCTGACCACATCATGTCATTATACTCAGCACCACCCCACTCCAGTCCCTTCCCCTCCCCTCCCCTTCTCCCCATCCCAATTCCTTCCGAACCAACCAATCGGAGTCGTCAATCTGTCAGTCTTATTCCCAGACACTGCTAACAACGCAAAACTGCACAGAACTCCTCAGAGCTTGGAGACGTCTCAAAACTATTCCCTGGCGCCACCACTAACAACACAAAGCTGTACAGAATTCATGCAAAGGGTGCACTGCACTACCTTCTGATCATAAGCCTTCCTGAACGGTTTCCAAGTTTTCAGCAGGGCACAAAGCGGTCCAATCAGGTATAGTGCGGTTCACTTGGGTTCTGTTAGGTAGTGTACGGGTACTCCCCCTGCCAGTTCCCCTGCGGGTAGTAATGACACACCCACATCCCAGCCCCGTCACTGCACTGAGCCGCAGCGCACCCCACATTCTTCGTATCCTCCCAAACAATCTGCGTATAATGCAAGCACTGCTGTCCCTCCACACACCCCCCCGGAATCGCACTATACGTCCAGTACTGCTTCTCATCCACCCAGCTTTTCACCGCGCCACGGTCCTCATCCGCATTAAAAGCAGCAGGCGACTTCCAGTATAAGTTCTGCCCCATGTTGTCGTGTCCCCCGTGCTCCAGCGGGCATCCGCGCGAAGCCAGGTTGTCCGCCCATGCCTGCGCGGAGGTCGCGAGATTCGCGTCCCAGCCCAGCGCGGAGAGGCGCAGGTCCGCGCGCGCGGCGTTGTGCTCCGCCAGCATCGTCGCAGCATCTACCGTGGCCCCGCCCCCGCTGCTTCCGCCGTTTCCGCCGCTGCTCCCGTCGCTTCCGCCGCTCCCCCCGCTGTCGCCGCTTCCGCCGTTCCCCCCGCTGTCGCCGCTTCCACCAGAGCTTCCCCCGTCCGAGTTTCCTCCGTCGTCCCAGCTACCGCCTCCGTCAGAGTTACCGTTATCCCAACCGCCGCCGCTAGAGCTACCGTCGTCCCAACCGCCACCGCCAGAGCTACCGTCGTCCCAACCGCCGCCGTCAGAGCTACCGTCGTCCCAACCGCCGCCGTCAGAACTACCGTCGTCCCAATCGCCGCCGTCGTCCCAACCACCGGTGTCGCCGCTGTTCCAAGTGTCGCCACCCCAGTCGCTCGACCAGTCGTCGGACCAATCAGACCAGTCGCTACCGTCGCTGAACCACTCGCCGCTTGACCAGTCGCTCGACCAATCCCCACTGTCATCGAACCAATCACCAAAATCATACGAAGATTCTTGCATCTGGCGACGGTTACCAGGTGTTCGCGCGCCAATAGCTTGAGGCTGGGTCTCCCGCAAGAAACGGCGGGAAGGACGGAGGCTTGTCGACGTTCTTATAGCAGTGGCAACGGGGCTAAGATACACAATTAGGATGAGTACTATACTCGCGATAGCGGTCAGCGTCAGCTGCGAACGCGCCATGTTTGTATCGTGAAGAAACGAAACAGATAGAATTTTCCGTTCGAGCTCAAGTGGAGGAAATGCTACAAATTTGAACTATCCGGGATATGCTTTATCCATAAAATCTGGAGTGGTCTGGCCGCGAAAGAAGATGTGGGAGAATATATGCACAGGTGAGCTCCATGAATTTGTACGAACGAGAGATATACATAGTGGAAGCTGAATTCGACCAGGGGCCTCAACTCAAGACAAGAAAGGAGGAGCTGGAGGGGAAGGAGATGAGGGAACCATGACCTTTGAAACAATAGATATCATGAGACCGCCATGGATATCTCCGCGCAGCGCTAAGTCCAGATCCAGGGTAACTCAGTTATCAGTTGACCTTTTTGACCACAGATCCGGACTCCTCGTTACAAGGCGCAGCGATCGATACTTTCTTTATGTCTACACGTCGGACATTGTGTTCATCGTTAAACGAGATCCCGTTTTCTGTCAGGCAACTATTCTCAAGGTTCCTTTTGACTTGCTGCTGTTTCCGAGGTTTTACTCATCGGCCTTAAGATTCTTAAGGCTCTGCACTGAAGACAAGGCTCTTATTACATCTATTGTCTGCAATGATCCCGAGGCTTCAACCTCGGTTTCTCATCATCTACAGCAAGAACAATGGGCAATGGCTCGCAGTTTTTACCTATTTAACTGGTCCGTGCTCAGAGGTGTGGCATCAGTTCAGACACTGCAGGTCTGTTTATCAGCTTTACAGCCAAGCTTTTTTCGGCCACGCGTCTCTCATCATTGCACGATGCCTCCCAAGGGGAAGGCCAAGGCTCTGCCAGAAGTCTCGTCGCTGGATGCTCCTTCCTCGTCCTTGGATGCTCCACCCCCGTCGCCTACTCCGGCCTTGACGGATCCTGCATACAAGGACAAAGGCAAGGGCAAGATGCCGGAAGAATCAAGCTCTGTGCCTCCTGTTGAGGCTTCCGCGAGTGGATCTGGTTTGTCGCTGGAGGAGAAGCTACGTTCTCTTCGCACCGCTGCTCCTGAAAGCGGTTTTCTTGAAGATGACTCGGACGAAGAACTCGAAGTTGAAGTCAAGACGGAGGCTTTCAACCGTGTCCGCTACACGGCGATTCTGCTGATCCCCGTGGCTCTCGCCTTGGAGATAGCGTCCATCATCACCACGGTGCGGACCCTGATGCGACGTGTTTGGTCGTCTATGCTCTTCGATGGTGCTGTTGAATCGGCAAAGTTCCAGGAGCTCATGCCGGCGTACGTGGCGAAGACTCGTTACAGCCGTCTCCAAGTCTCCCTCCTGCGCGAAGACGACATCATGAGCATCAGAGCCAAGGAAGTTGACTACGCGCGTCCTAATGGTGCGACGACTCGTCTCTACTGGCAGCACACAGAGGATCCAGCTTTCGTGCGTGAACGTGCAACAAATGCGCATGCAATCGAAGTGGTGATTCGCGACGTACCTGCGACGAAGACGCCTGAGATGCTGAGGGAGCTGATGGTGGTCTATCAGCTACGGAACTGGAAGCAGTCGGCCTTCAAAGACGGCACCTGTTTCCACCGCGTTCTACATCCGATTACCGGAGCTGATACCGACGTCATCAAAGGCCTTGTTATTCCGCACTCCGGAGACCGCTATCGCTGGCGTCATGTTTTCCAGGACCCGCTGGAGCTCGGTCGCCGTTACCTGGTCCACTTCCCTGCGCTGTCTTGCCTGCTCTGTGGTGGACAGCACTATGATGTCAATCATGATGCTTTCACAACAGAGCGGCAAAACAACATAGGAAAGTGGAACCTTACCTTGGGTCGGGTTCATCGCATTAACGGTAACTGTTGCTTTCCTTGTGACCACACTCACCGTTGTGTTTGCCCTTGTGCTAACCTTCAAGCTGTATCTTGCAGCTGCGTCTTTACCGGCCTCGCCGCTGATCACTCCCATTCTGCTGGATCCGGCCATGGTGTTAATCTCAACCGGGGGGAACCGGGAGGAGTGGATCTGCACGCAAGTGGGCTGTGGGAAGGCCAAGGGGAAGAGTTTCATGACTGCGGGAGACCACGTCACATCTGCGAACCATCTCATCCACCTCGAGAAGCTCGGCTCTGCTACACGTGCCTCTCTCGAGAGAGCCAGTCTCAACGTCACGAAGAGGGAATACGGGATCTGAAGCTTGAGCAACTTGGCAGGCGAGCAGCAGCAGCGGCAGTAGTTTTCTCGTTAGTAGGTGTCGGTCTCTTCTTTACCCTGTGGATGCGTAGGGGTTCTCAGTTTGTGATTAAATGAGTAAAAAAAGCCTCATCAGCTTTGCGGGCCTGAACGTCAACGGCCTAGGAGATAAGACCAAACAGCAACGAGTTTTAGACTGGTCCAGACAAGCAGCTGATATCATCATTCTAACGGACACTAGGATAGCCTCAGATCATTCACTCTGGTCACACCCTACTTACAGCTCAGCGGCAGCAACTTCACCTAGATCGAAAGCCGGCGGAGTAGCTCTGCTGTGTAGGTCGCCTTTACTTAGCTTCCGAAACGTCCTAGTGCATCCGTCGGGTAGATTAGTGTCCGCGGAGATCCACGGCCTTGGACTGCAGCTTACTGTCCTGGCCTGTTACTTCCCGGCCAACGCAACCTCCCGGGCAACCTTCCTTAGAGACACCGTAGGTCCAGTCATAGACTTGATCTCCTCAGCCAGTCATCTGCTCATCATCGGAGATATTAATACGATAGAAGATCCAGTGTTAGATAAGTCGTCACGGGTGGGATCCTCTGCAGAAAACGACAGACTGTTCGCGCGATGCCGTTCTTTCCAGTTATCAGACGCTTTCAGAACGTTATACCCAAAAAAACGAGAATTTACCTTTTTCTCGCAAGCCCAGCAAGTTAGTACGCGTATAGACCGCGCTCTCATCTCCCACTCCCTCTTACCGCACCTGATTCAAGCCTCCCACGTGATGCCGGCGGAGTACATATCGGATCATAGTTTTGCAATTCGAGTGGCTCTTCGGATTGATGCCAAGATCTGCATCGGTCCCGGCCTCTGGAGGCTTCACGCATCCATGGTCCACAAGCGTGGGGTTCGGAGGATCGTGGAGGCAACAGTGGAGAAGTGCGCTGTCACGGACGGTAGCAGCTTCGAGCTGCTTCTTTCGCGGTTGGCGGCTGGGCTTCGTGCATTTGCAAAGGAGGAAGGCAAACGGGTGAAGGCGACGGTGACGCATCTGGTTGATGAGGTTGCGGAGCTCCGTCAGGATATGATGCGGGACCCGTCCTGCAAGGCGAAAAGTGCACAATTAGCAGTGAAGGAGGTGCAACTGCGGGAGTACCAGGCGTCAAGAAAAGACAAGCTGCACCTGATGTCTGGCATGCGGTTGGAGCTTCGTGGTGAAGTGGCATCAAAGCACCTGACGGCGATGGTGCAGGCTAAGAAGGCGAGTACTCAGATTGCGGAGCTGCAGACGGCGTCAGGCGTTGTTTCCGATTCACAGGGTATTCTTCGTGCGGCGTCGGACTTTTTCGCTGACATCTTCGGTCGGGATCGGTGTCAGCTGGAAGACAACTGGCGTCCTGCGCAGGAAAGGAAGCTGAGGAGCTGGGAGGCAGAGGAACTGGCAGCAGACTGGACGGAAGAGGAGGTGAAAAAGGCCTTCAGTGCGATGGCGGCGAATAAATCCCCGGGCAAAGATGGGTTGCCGAAGGAGCTGTTTGAAGCCCACTGGGACCTGTTGGGTAAGGGTTTCATGGCCTTAGCCAAGGATTTCGCGTCGTCAGCGGTTCTCTCAACGGAAGTAAAGGAGGCGGTTACGATTCTTCTGCACAAAAAAGGAGATAAGGATCAGCTCAACAACTACCGCCCTATTACTCTCCTCAATTTCACTTACAAGGTGCTGGCGCGGGTTGTGGCTGACAGAATGAAGAAGTTTCTGAGCCGAGTGGTTTCGCCGGAGCAGTACGGTTTCCTTCCCGGAAAGCAGCTGACGGACGCGGTGGGGCTTGTCGCTGACATCATTGACACGGCGCGGAATGACAACGAGGATTGGTTCCTCCTCTTGGCTGATTTTAAAAAAGCATTTGACCCGGTGTCCCGCGGCTATCTCTTCCGGACGTTGCGGGCGATGGGGTTTCCTGACCGTTTGGTGCGCTGGGTGGAAGGCCTGCACGCAGGAACGCAGACACGCTTGTTAGTCAACGGCTGGATGGGGGAAGGTGTGGAAGTGGTCTCCGGGGTTCGGCAAGGTTGCCCCCTTGCTCCGTACCTGTTTTTGTGTGCGGTTGAGCCGCTGACACAAATGGTTCTGAAGCGGAAGCTGGGCATCAGCAGGGCGAGTGAGCGGTTGGCGTACATCGGGTATGCGGATGACACCACCCTGGTCCTGGAAGGGAAGCAGCAGATCATCAGGGCCGAGCAAGTGTTAGCGAAGTTTGAACTGACCTCGGGGTTAGCGACAAACAGGGACAGATCTGTCATCTTACCGTTGGGGAATAATCTTGGCAGGACGTCGGGTCGAGCGAATTGTTTCCGCTGGGCGAAGGCGGAGGAAGCGGAGAAGCTGCTTGGGGTCTGGGTCAGTCCCTCAGGAAGCTGCCTGCCAACATGGGAGAAAACTACGGAGGATGTGACGGGAAAAGTAAAAAAATGGCAGCAGAAGTTCCTTCCGACGGCGGCAAGAACGGCGGTGATTAACTGTTACACGATGCCGAAAGCAGTGTTCTAGGCGCAGGTCTACCCGCCTCCTGCGAAATTGTGGGGGACCATTTCCAAGACTTTCCACAATTTTGTCTCCGGAAATAAGGCAACATCGGATACGGTGTTCAAGCTATGGAGCAAGGATCTGCTTCACACTCCGAGGAAGCTGGGGGGTGTGGGGGTGCATGATCCGGAAATGATCCTGGCGTGCCTCACGGCCCGCCGTGTGGGGTTGCTGGCGCTGGAGACGAACGGGTTGAAGAAGCACCTCATGACGCGGGCGGCGGATTTGCCCATGGGCGTTGAGACGTTCTTCGCCCATGAGAAGCTGCTCAAGCACTGGGAGGGGAAAAGCCCTCGCTGGAAGGCGGCAGTGGAGAACTTCATGAAAACGCCGCTGGGAAATCTACCAGAGGCAAGCTCTCGAGAAGCGGTGGAAAAAGAGCGGATTGTTTTTAACAAGCGGATTTTGCTGAAAGGGACCACGCCGGTCGGGGGGCAAAAGGATGCGAAGCCGTTGTGGGAAAAAAGGCTGGGTGATCTGCTCGCACTCGACGGGACTGGCGCTCCTGTGCTCAAAGCTCCTGAGGCGCTAGAGAAGGAGCTGGGTGGGAAGGCATCTGCCAAGCTAGCGGTGAGGGCTTTCGAAGCTGCCCCCCAGAGGTGGAGAGACATGCTGCTCAGCAAGCCTGCTCAGGGCACTCAGGGGGGTATCTCGGCTGGGTCGCGGAGGGTTTACCACTCTGCGGGGCGCAATCTCACTGACTTCCCCATCTTTGAGAATGGGGGGATTGCGCCCATGAAGCGGTTGAAGCTACTCTGGAGGGAAGGACAAAAGCCATCGGCGAAGCAGTTGCTGTGGAAGGGCAGATGGAATGGGCAGATTAACTGGAAGCGGACTATTGCCATTCGTGACTTGCTGGTCACACCAAGCAAGCCAAGAGACCTTCTGCTGCGGGTCCATAACCTTAACCTGCAAGTCGGAGAACGGGTGGCTTTTTTTAGCAGTAAGCCAGTCTGCCCATACTGTGGAGGGGTGGAAACCCTAGAGCACTGTCTCTACAGTTGCCCGAAGATACAACTGGTGACCTCGGCGCTCCTGAAAACCCTCCGCATGATGAACACCTCGCGCACGATGGCGTCCCTCGGAGACCTGCTGTTCCGGAAAGCAGGGTCCAGCTCAGCTTTTCCGGAGGCCACGATTACATCAATCACGCTTCATCAGCTGTGGCTGGAGCGGTGTGATGCTGTCTTCAGAGGGCAAAGATTCCGGGCGAAGCGGGTGCTCTGGAGGGTTGAAACGGCCTTCCGACTTCATGCAAGGCTGTACACGCGGACAAGGGAAGCACGGTGGAAGAAGTGTCAGGGTACACGTCAGGAGGAGAAATTTCGTCGCACAAGGAAGAAGGAGGACAAGTTGCTGTTTCGGATCAGGGACAAAAATCACAAGGTGTGGACGTGGACAAACGCCTTTGCAAACGTCTGGCTTGCACCGAGGTTGACTCACCGTCCTCCATAGATGCCACACTTGGGGCGGCCGCGTGGCTTCCCCTCATGCACAGTTACGACTGTTATTGATTATGTATGCTTGCTCTGTTTTCGGTGTACATTTCAATTACCTAAAAAAAAAAAAAGGAGATGAGGGAACCAAATTTCATCGCTGGCGCTCGTTCGCGAACGCAGCAAGATTTCGCTAGCAGTCGTCCTTGTGAGTCAAGCTGACTCCACAGGATTCCGTTGCTGTTCGCGACCGCCACCAAAGCAGGGGTGGGCTTCAGCGATTTACCGCCGAGTAACATCAAGAATTCGCCAGCGTCAGGTGTACAAGGTGCTGCTTCCAGAATTCAGAGTTCGCGCAGGTCTACGTGTCACCCAACACAGCGCGGCCAATTCCTGCCGAGTAACTTCCGCCAATAATGCTTTCGACAGCATGACGAAGCCAGCATGGAAAGGATGGCAGCCAATTGACACATTTGAGTCAATACTTTCGCACAGCCGCCACGCAAGCGAGGGGCGCTTCGCTATGAAGTAAATGCTGACAAATCATGGCAGCCATCCGCTATAACTATTGCGAGGTATGTCTTGTGAGGTTCATAGATATTTATATTCCTACTCCATACATGCTTAGCCAACATACCGGTACCTACCGTAGATTGAGATCATGGAATGAATACAGGTAGCTTCCATGTTGTGCTTAAAATCCGGTGCGGATGTGCTGAAAAGATGTGAATCAACTAGCAATATTGAAGGAACAATGATGACAAATAAATGAATGCAGGGTATGGTACAGCACAAGCCGCACCACACACAACCGCGCAGAACATCTCTCAGCCGTGTGTTGAGCTCATATGGGGAGCGGAGGCACCATGTGGGGCAGCCTGGCGGTGGGAGGTTGCGGAGGGGGAAGAAGGAAAGGGATGGATGGAGGAGTTAGGGAGGAATGCTCGTGAGGGAGGGAGGGAAGGAGGGAGGGAGAAGGGAAG